CTTAAGCTAGACAGGCATTGCCCTTTATGGACACCCCATTTCACCAGGTGCATCCTTCTATAACCCCGGGGTCTGGGGTCTGAGCCCACCCACTCAGCCGTCCCTCCCCACGGGGCTCCCTGGACACACAGCGCCCAGCCGGAGAGGGGCGGATAGGAAGCAGAGGAAAAAGTAATTCCCCAAGGAGCCAGTGAGCAGACGCCACAGCCCTGGCCTGGCCTGGCCTTGGTGATGGCGGCCGTGGCTCCGTCTCCTTGGTGCAGAGGCCAGTGATCTCCATCCGGTGGTGACCCCATAGGGACTTCTCCAACCCCAGAGCGTAGCCAGCCCCGCCCCTCCCCTGCCTTCCCCCGCCTCCCCTCACCTCCGCGGCTCTGAGGACCCTTTACAAGGTGAGCTGCTTCTATCTCCTTCCTCTCCTCCCCTAGCTTGGGGCTACTTGAGTGGGGAATTCTTCAGTTTGGGGATCCCCAGAGATGATTTAGAGGTGCTGTTCCTACTCCCCCAGGAGGCAGCCCCAGCAGGTGCAAGGCAGGGTGGCCTGGTCTAGGGATTGCTGGGAAGAGGAAGCCAGATCCTGGAGGCTGAGACTCAGCGCAGAGTCTGATGGATAGTAGGTGCTCCCTGCAGGGCAGCTGCTGTGTTCTGATTATGTTTCCATCAGATCTCATCGAGGCCCACAGGCCAGCTCTGCCCCCAGGCCCCACTCTTGCTGCCTGCCCGGATTCTGCCCACTGACAGTGTCTTCTACCCAGCATGCTGGTGCAGCCAGCTCCTCCTCCCCCTGGCGGGCACATGTTGAGTGTTTCCTCCTGGGAAAGCCTTCCAGACCTTCTCTCCTTCTGGCTGTGTGTCCAGTCCTCATGCCATGCCATGCCATGCCCTGGTGGTACCCATCAGTGGGGCTCTGCTTGGCCCCACAGGACCTCTGGGCACCTGGGCAGAACTTGCCTTTGTCTGCCTGGCCCCGCTGCCCAGCCCCGGCTGGCCGGCAGCCACCCACCCAACTGATTGCAGAGCTGAGGAATTTTGCTTGGCATTCAGAAATCCCTGCTGGAATTTTCCACTGAGATAAGCAAGGGTGAAGGTTTCTGGAAAAGCCAGGCCCCTGCCTTTTCTGCTTATCCCAAAGGCCTCATGAGATAAGAACATTTTGGAAGAGCTGGAGCTCAGGTAGCTTTCACATTCAGCTTTGTTCTTTTTTTATTTTATTTACTTATTTTTTGGGTTGTGGGGCCTGAACTCTGGGCCTGGGTGCTGTCCCTCAGCTCTTCAGCTCAAGGCTAACGCTCTACCACTTGAGCCACAGCGCCACTTCCGGCTTTTTTCTTTTTTGCTTATGTGGTGCTGGAATCGAACCCAGGGCCTAATGCAGGCAAGGTAAGCGCTCTACCACTGAGCCACCTTCCCAGACCCTCAACTTTGTTCTTAATCATAGCTCTGCAAGGAAGACCCATGGAGAAGGAGGAGGAGGAGGAGGAGGAGGAGGAGGAGGAGGAGGAGGAGGAGGAGGAGGAGGAGGAGGAGGAGGAGGCACTGCTCCCCTTCAAGTCTCCTTTGGAGGGCTCTGGAATGCCTCACAGGAGAGAACCTAGTCATCGGGGTCTTTGGGTCACTTCTACCAGAAGGGCAGGCTGGTCTCTTTGTGAGGAACAAGGGGGCTCAGGTGAGACTGGGGTGGGCAATTTCTGGGTTAGCTAGGAGATCTGATAACTGCTTAGGAAATCTCACCTGTGAGCTGGATATGGCGGTACACATTTGTCCTGTAATGCCAGTACTCAGGAGGCTGAGGCAGAAGGATCAAGAGTTGGAGGCCGCCTTGGGTCACACAGAGAGATCCTATCTCAGTAAATAAGTAAGTTAAGTGAGTAAACAAATAAAGCTAAGGGCTGGGATGTGGCTCCGTGGCAGAAGCTTGCCTAGCAGGGATACGGCCCAGGGTTGCAGCTCCAGTACCCTCCCCCAAGTAAGTAAATTAATAAACATAAAGCCAAGATGGGTAACTTAATGTGTACAAGAGTTTATGAGCCCCATTACAGTGAAAATCCTACACATGGCGTGACCTTGGTGAACTACAAGTGAATCCTGGTTTTTAGACCTCAGACCCAAAGTCCGCAGTCCGAAGGTAGCCCTGGCCACTGTATCCCAAACAAAGACACGCATGAAGGCAGAGAGGGGGGTCATTCCACGAGAGCCCTGGGAGACAGCGCTTCAGTGCGTCTAAGGCCGTCTTCAGGGCTGCAGACCTCGGCTTCCGTGCCGGGTCGCCAGTGAGGTGACCTTGCGCACAGCCTTTGTGCTTGGAGGCCTTCTGGAGAATTGTTGCCACTAGGAACCTGTGAGTTTTCCGCTGCTTCCTTTATGATGATGAGATGAAGCTGAGGCCTGTCTGAGGGCAACGTGCCTTCCTCACAAGCCCCCTGCCCATGAATTTTTCTCTTTCTGGAGCCCAAGGTGCTGGTGAAGGGACTGCAGTGAACAGCTCAGAGCAAGGGCTGGGCTAGAAAAGCGGGAAGCTTTAGTTAATTCCCAGGGCCCAAGGAAAGCGGGTCGTCCCTGACGTAAACCCTGTCACTGTCATGGGGTGTGACAGCGTCAGAGCCAACCTTGTAAGGGGCTACGATTTGCCACCTCCAATAGCCAGCTGACCTCACATTTGTCATCATAATTGACAGATAAATTGCCTGCCATGTATCATTAGGTTGAGCAGGCCTGGAGCCTGCTGCAGCCCCAGAGCTAGAAGGTTACAACTGCTGGACCCTAAGGGAGGGGTTTCCCATCGGGCTGTCAGTGGAGGTGCCGGCTGGCGCTCCGCCCATGGAGCCGGGCAGTTCTTTATGATCTACGTTTGCTCTGTGAATGTGAAAGTTCATACGACCTCATCATGGTGACTCACCATGTCCAGGCAATCCGAACCGCATCCCTGGGCAATGGTCACTCATACCTGGCTCAGAATGAACTATTTTCTTGCCTTCCCCACCCCATGGTGTGCATGCCTGTAATCTCCTCATGTTGGAGGCAGACACAGGAGGATCACCAGTTTGAGGTCAGCCTGGGTGATAATAATAAGGCCTTGGCACAAACAAAATCTGAAATAAAACCTATTAAATGGAAAGGTGCTATAGATAATGCTGAGCCTTGCCTCAAAAATGAACCAACATGGAAGTGGCGCTGTAGCTCAAGTGGTAGAGCGCTCGCCTTGAGCTGAAGAGCTGAGGGACAGCGCCCAGGCCCAGAGTTCAAGCCCCATGACCGACAAAAAAAAAAAAAAAAATGAACCAACAGGCCGGGCGCCGGTGGCTCATAGCTGTTATCCTAGCTACTCAGGAGGCTAAGATCTGAGGATTGCGGTTCAAAGCCAGCCCAGTCCGTTGAGACTCTTATCTCCACTAAACCACCAGAAAACCAGAAGTGGCGCTGTGGCTCAAGTGGTAGAGCGCTCACCTTAAGCTGAAGAGCTGAGGGACAGTGCCCAAGCCCAGAGTTCAAGCCCAGAGTTCAAGCCCCACTACTGACAAAACACAAACAAAAAAAAACCTCTAATCAACATAAAACTCAGTTCAGCAAAGTAAACACCAGGATGCAGGTGCTGGAAAGGGGAGACTGGGGAAAGGGTCCGGGGGCAGATAAATGCAGAGAAGGAGAAGGGGAGAATGCAGTGGCAAATTCAACGCGTATTCTGCAACATTAAGAAACTTGAGGGAAGGGGTGGTAGCGAGGGATGGGTGAGAATTTTGAAAAGGGTGATACATTGTATTCATGCACTGCTCTGTTGACTGGCAACTCCTCTGTACAGACACTATCTTTAAGTAATTTACTATTTTTTTTTTTTGTCCTTTGTGGGCTTGAACTCTGGGCCTGGGCGCTGTCCCTCAGCTCTTCAGCTCAAGATGAGTGCTCTACCACTTGAGCCACAGCACCACTTCTGGTTTTCTGGCGGTTCACTGGACATAAGAGTCTCACAGCCTTTCCTGCTTGGGCTGGCTTTCAACTGTGATCCTCAGATCTCAGCCTCCTGAGTAGCTGGATGACAGGCATGAGCCACTGGCCCCTGGCATAATTTATTATCTTTAAGTGAAGAAATCGCCTTAAATGAAATGATGATAAAATATTTAAAGAAATCAACTCCCCCAACCCCCCCCCCCATTTCCTTATTTGGTTTAAAGCAGAGAAGCAGAATTCCTTTGCTTCCACTGCCTTTCTGTACCTCTGTCCTTTGCATTGTTCACACAGGAAGGCCGGCCCATGAGTGCCCATCCTGGCCACCAAGTGGTCCATCCCTCCTCGCTTCGGAATCTGGGACAGAGGATGTGGACAGAGTCGAGGTCTGCAGGGCTGAGGGGACAGCCAGGCTTGCTGGCAGCAGCGAGGGGTCACCCACAACACCCAGGATCAAGTGGCCCAGACCCTCCCTCTTTTTCACCCCCCCCCAGCACTGGGGCCATGTGGCCTCAGACGCTTTAGTGCTACCCAGTGGGTGTGTGAGAACAGCAGAGCTTGTCTGCCAGTGCGTTCCGAGCACCACGAAGGCTGCTTGGCACACTTTCCATCTTCCTTAGACGCCTCCGGCCAAGCCTTCTACCCCAGCCATACTCCAGAGGCTAAAAAGGGACCCTAGGGAAGATAATTCCATTCTAGAACCCTGGTCCTGCTGTTCCCTAGAGGCTGGTACTGCCCCCGGAGGGCATCTAACCCTGGGTCAGTCTCTGGGCCCCACCCCCTGGCTGCTGCCCCGGCTCAGGGATGTTTGGACAAATCGTTAGTTCATTAGGTCACATCGAGACACAGTCCTGTGCCCAGCACGGCTGGGGTTTCTAGCACTGTAAGGGTGGAGGAGGAGCCATGTGGTCACACCGAGGTGACACCCGGAACAAAGCTGAAACTCGGGGCGCAGCTGGGGAAGGCACAGGCAGGGCAGGAATGTCACTTGGGCCTGTACCTGCCAGGTGAACATGTGATCACATGGCCTTTGCCCTGAAGCTTTCAGGAAGGGACGAGGCCTGGCCTGGATCTGGGCACCTTCAGCCGAGGCGTCTCTTGTTTTCCTTTTCACTGCTCTGGGCAGAGTGTTCTAGACCCACAGCTGCTGTCCAGCCTACTCTGTGTGGAGGAAGGAGGGAGAGAGACAGTGCGGGCCACTGGGGACCGGTGAGTCATTGTTCAAACTTCTGTGTGCTCTGCAGAGTCTCTGAGTGTTTGTACACATTCGTGTCTATGTTTGCGTGCATACATGTTTGCACTTCTGTCTGCATTTGTGTGGCAGCGCATCTGGCTTCTGCAGGTGTCACTTGTGTATTTGTGAAGTGGGGCAGGACTCCCCGAGCTGGCTAGCTCATATTCCTGGAAGGAGATCCATTTTGCTTTTTCCTTCCGGAAACTTCCAAAGGCCTAGAGCAAAAACTTGCCTCTGGGAGGACATAGATACTGCGCCCCTCCCCCCAAGAATCTACTTCAAACCACATCAAAATTGCTCAGTTAATATCCATTGGTGATGACTTGAAAGTTGTCAGGTTATTCTCATAAAACTCCTACATTTCCCCCCTGCCTTAAACAGTCCCATTGTTTTAAAAGCAATGGAGGGGTGGAAAAAGCTTCTGCTGGGGGGCGCGCCGTCCACACCGACCCTGCTCCACCCAGGTCACTTTGAGGGGCTCTCCTTACGTGTTTTCTTTTGGCGGGAGCTGAAGAAGCCGAGAAGATTAGAAGAGAAGTCCTAGTGATGAGACTCAGTTCTGAGTCCTTTGGCCTTGGGAGGGGCTTCCAGTAACCCTCTCCTGAATCCGACTGTCCAGGCTCTGCCGACCTCGCTTGCGGCCTCCTCTTAGAGCGGAGAACTCCCTCTGGGGCTTAACGGGCGCCTGCAACCCAGCGTCACACAAGTCCCATGAGAACATAGTTACTCGTGGAGAAAAACAGCTTAAACCGGTGAAAAAAAATCACACGAGGGAGGGAAATGGGTCAGCAAGTGGGGACTGTTGTAGAACTCTCACGAGGGCGCCCAACTTGGTGTGGAAGCTGTGTGCCCCGGGGATGCCGTGGCAGCCTGTTCTGGCTCTCAGCTCAGTGTGTTTGCATTGGTGGAGCTGCCTGGGCTGGAGGAGCTCTGCCTTGGCTTCCATGAGAGCTCCGTGCAGCTGCGGGAGAGGTGCAGGGCATGACCACCGTGATCCCGTCCAGAGGGTTCGGAGGGCTGGGGCAGGGTGGAATCACAGCGGTGTCGGGAAGCCCCTGGGAGCCTGCTGGAGTCCCGGCCCTCCTCCACAAGCCCTGGGTGTGATTAGCATGGAAGCCTCAGGATAGACACTGAAATGTGGCCACTTATGGCTTCTGGCTAAACCATTTTCTCCTCCCTCCCTCCCTCCCTCCCTCCCTCTCTCCTTTCCTTCCCCCCTTGCTTCCCTCCTTCCCTCCTTCCCTCCCTCCTTCCTTCCTTCCTTCCTTTCTTCCCAGCTGCTTTCCTTCCTTCCTTCCTTCCCAACTGCTTGCCTTCCTGCCTTTTATGCTGGAACTGGGGCTTAAACTCAGGGACTGGGTGCTGTTCTTTAGCTTTTTCTCTGAAGGCTGTGGCACTATACCCCTTGATCCATTTCCTTATTTTAGTGGCCAATTGGAGATAAAAGTCTCTTTAGTCCTGGCTGACTTCCAACTGTGATCCTCAGATCTCAGCCTCCTGAGTAGCTAGCTAGGATTACAGGCGTGAGCCACCGGCACCTAGCTAAGCCATTTTCTTATTCAAGCAGGTGATGCTTATTGAACAGCTCCTCTAAGCTCAATGAATGCAGTGCTTGCACTTGCTAGTGGTTATAGCAGTGAGAGAGGGCACTATAAAACCATTACATGAAATGACATCAAATCCAAAGGAGATGCTTTCAATCAGAAGGGGTTCTGAGCCAGGCACCGGTGGCTCATGCCTGTAATCCTAGCTACTCAGGAGGCTGAGATCTGAGGATCGCAGTTCAAAGCCAGCCAGGGCAGAAAAGACCACGAGACTCCTATCTCCAATAAACCACTAGAAAACCAGAAGTGGCGCTATGGCTCAAGTGGTAGAGCGCTCGCCTTGAGCCGAAGAGCTGAGGGACAGCGCCCAGGCCCTGAGTTCAGAGTTCAAACCCCATGACCAACCAAAAAAAAAAAAAAAAAGAAGAGGCTCTGGGGTAGCAGTGCTTCATTTCATTGACTTCTACAGTGAGTGTCCACAAGGGCTGCGTGTGTACGGGCGGCAACTGGGAGACCACATGGGAGGCTGTTGATGACCAGCTTGAGGGAGAGGGGAGACCCAGAGCTTCACTGCACAGCCATCCTCCCCCCCAGCCCCCCTTCCCCGCCCCCCTCCCCCCTCCCCCCCGCTTGACAGTGGAGTTGATGATGGTCCCTTGGGAACAGGACTTGGCTGACGGCCTCTAGGCCTGGCTGACTTCTGAAGGGGATTTTCTGGGTGTCCATTGTATGTCTGACTCTTACCTTGGAGCTTAGTTTTCAGGCTCCTTTGAGTCCCGTGCGGCCGGGGCTCATGGGCAGAGGAGAGGGGTCTGGCCTCTGGGCAGGCTGCGGGTCTGTGGAGACCAGAAGTTCAAGGAGAGCTGGGCAGAGCGGGGCGGCTGCCAGGACTGGCTCCTGAGCGGGTCCCAGGCCCCTTGACAGAGCAGCTCTTACCCAAGCATCCCGCATACTTTTCTTTCTTTTTATGGGAGCCATACCTCAGCCCTATTTCTGCTGGTTATCTTCTGAAACAGAGCCTGGTTTCCTGCCCAGACCCGTGCGTGGACCGTCATCCTCCGGTTTTTCACTTCCTTCCGTAGCTGGGATGACAGGTGCCCGACCCAGGCCTCATAGTGTCTGTGGGGATGGTGTCTCCCAGGCTTCTCCGCCGAGGCTGGCCTCAAATGACAATCTTCCCGATCTCAGCCTCCTGAGAAGCCAGGATGAGAGGCAGACAACCGGCACGTGCCACGTGCACACAGCACCTCCTTTTTCCTGCAGCAGATAAAATAGATTATGTTCACGCCAGCCGCCCGCTGGCAGGGGCCGGCTGGGCACCGGTGCGGCCTGCCCGCCCAGGCCTCTGTGCCCACCTTGCGCTACATGCGCTCGCTGCAGTGCCCAGGGGCAGCCGGGCGGGGGGGGGCGCTCCGCAGACCCCCCAACCTGCCCCCATCTGCTCTGGTTTACGCAGGTCATGGCACAGGTGGACAGCCCCCGGCCCAGTGCTGCCTCCGGCCAGCCTCACGTGTCCAAGCTGGTCCTCCTAGGAAGTGGCTCTGTGGGCAAGTCCAGCCTGGCCCTCCGGTTCGTGAAGCAGGATTTCAAGAACGTCCTGCCGACTGTGGGATGTAAGTGGAGGGCAGGGCAAGGCTCCTGCGTGGGGTGGGCGGCCCCGGTCAGCTGTGGGGAGACCGGGACTCCCTGCCTCCATCTCTGCCAGATGATGGGGTCTGGCCCTGGGCAGCCCCAGGCAGCCCCAGGGAGGAAAGGTCTGCAGGGAGGGAGGGGAGGAGTGTGGACCTGCCACCTGCACGCCACTGGCCCACGGCTGGATTACCCCACCCACTGGGCGTGGCGGTCAGAGGGACCGGCAGGCGGGACCGGCAGGCGGGAGCACAGTCAGCCTGTGGCACCCTCACTTCCGGCTCCCGCGTGCTCTGAGCTGCGCCTGAAGCCCTGAGCACAGGCTGGCACGTCGCGTGTTGTACACCTTGTTCTTGGTGACGATTTTTACAAAGGATGAGCAGCAGGGACAGGCTTGGAGGAGTCTTCCGATATGCATTTGAATGAAGAGCTAGCAGGGCGGCTCTCCATATGATGTGAGGGCAGCGTTGCCCCAGCGGCCGTTAATTCTAATTCTGACCGTCAGCACCCGCTGGGGTGCTTGCTCCCCAATGGAAGACCCTGCGGCATTCAGAAGCCTGGCCAAGGAGAGGCAGCTGCTTGATGCATCGCTTAGGGTTGGGGTGAGTGGGACAGGAGAGCCCTCTGGAGGAAGCTCTGCTGAGCACGGAGGAGGAAGGGACCCCACAGCCTCTCACAACAGGGGAGGGTGTCAAGCGGTCACCAGCCCGGAGGACGGTTTGTCCCAATGGTGCTCACGTGCCCAGTGGGATGACACACTTGGACTCTTGGTGGCTTGGGACGGGAGGATCTGGAGGACTGTAGTTGGAGGCTATTCCAGGAGAGACAGTTCTCCTCCCTACCCCCATCTTAACCAGGACAAGTCTGGGAATAGCGGCGTGTGCTTGTCTTCTCAGCCGCTTGGGAAGGACACATTGGTAGATGGTAGGCAGGTGTGGGGAAAACGTGGGGCTCCAGTCCCCTGCAAGACCAGCTCTGACCAGGGCTGCCCAGGCCCCTGGAAGCCTCGCCGAGTGGGGACAGGGTCGGCCTCTCCTTCAGAGCCTCCTGCCACACCTTCATTCTAGACCTCTTCCCTTTAGAACGGAAGAAGTAATTGTCTCTTCTTAGAAGCCATTCCGTTTGTGGTTGTTTGTTACAGCAGTGCCAAGATGCTTGGACAGTCCTTGGAGGAGAAATTATAATTAAAAAAAATTTTGGGCTGGGAAGGTGGCTCAGTGGTTGAGCGCTTGCCTTGCATGCCTGAGGCCCTGGGTTCGATTCCTCACCGCCACATAAGCAAAAAGAAAAAAGCCAGAAGTGGCGCTGTGGCTCAAGTGGTAGAGCACTAGCCTTGAGCTGAAGAGCTGAGGGATAGCGCCTAGGCCCAGAGCTCAGGCCTCATGACCGGACCCCCCATTTTTTTTTTTTTTTTTGGTGTAGGGCCTGAACTCTGGGCCTGGACACTGTCCCTCAGCTCTTCAGCTCAAGGCTAGCCCTCTACCCCTTGAGCCACCGCTCCACTTCCAGCTTTTGGCGGGTTCAGTGGAGATAAGAATCTCGTGGACTTCCCTGCCCAGTCTGGCTTTGAGCTGTGATCCTCAGATCTCAGCCTCCTGAGTAGCTAGGATGACAGGAGTGAGTCACTGGCGCCCAGCTTGATCCATGACTCTATAAAGGGCCAAGGCAGAGGGATGTGAGCTGACTGAGCATGAGCAGATCCAAGCAAGGGTAGAGTGCCGGGTTCGGGCAGATGATCCCCAGAAAAGGCACACCGAGCCCACGGCCCACAGCCATGCAGCACCCGGGCACTCGGAGGCCTCAGGAAGTCAGCAGCAGGGGTTCAGTGGGGGAGGCGGTAGGAGGGGTGGCGGTGGCCACGATGGGTGGAGAGCCGTTGATGTGGTCACCGGGCCTCTTGGCAGGCCCACAGCCGGGTGGCCAGAGGCCGGGGATACCAAGGCAGCTGTGGGGCTCCCCCAGTGCGGCCGCCATCTGGAAGCCACAGAGGCCTCCAGACCTCGGCATCGGAGGCCCCTCCTGCGTGCCTTTCAACGTCCCTTCTGCCCCCACCCACTGGGGACCCAGAGAGAGCATGGCTGACCGCTGAATCCAGACGCCCCATCTAATGGAGGAGGCTCCGCCTAGCCTCCCGGGCCGCCCGTGGCTGGCTGTGTCCGACTGGCTTGCTGAGCCGTGGATGGACACCTCCCCCCTCCCCCGCCCCTCCCTCCCCTCCCCGCACCCTCCGTCCCCCATTCCAGGTGCGTTCTTCACGAAGGTGGTGGATGTGGGCGCCTCCTCCCTGAAGCTTGAGATCTGGGACACGGCTGGCCAGGAGAAGTACCACAGCGTCTGCCATCTTTACTTCAGGGGTGCCAACGCTGCGCTTTTGGTCTACGACATTACCCAGAAGGTAGGGGTAGCACACAGGCATGGTGGCCTTGCAGGTTTCCTAGCTCACAGCATGACCACATCAGCACGGGCAGACGGCTCTGTGAGCCGCTCACCACCTCCAGGAAGCCCTCCCTGACAGCCCCACGCTGTTTCATTCTGCTCCTGAACAATTGTGCAGGGGCCCCGCCCGCGGCCCTGCCCTCTGCCCCATCAGTGCCAGAATGCCACCCCACCCTCCCGCACACCCACCGCCTCCCTCAGGCCTCTAGTTTCCTGGGACCCCACTTTGCTGCCAGCTTCATAGAAGCCCCTGGGGTGGCGCAGGCCTGGCCGGCAGCCACAGAGGCCCAGAGCGCCGCCTACAGGCCTGGCCGTGCCATTCTGCCCGGCACAGGGCACAAGGCCGTGCCTGAGCCTCTGACTGCCCCGCTCTCTTCTAGGATTCCTTCCACCGGGCCCAGCAGTGGCTGTCGGAGCTGGAGAAGGAGTTCTCCCCAGGGGAGGTTGTGGTGATGCTGGTTGGAAACAAGACAGACCTCGGAGAGGAGCGGGAGGTGACGGCACAGGTACGGCGCTGGGGCCGGCCGGCCTGGGGGGCCTGGAGGCCTTGGCACGCGGCGTGCCCGCCTGCACACCTCAGGCCCGTGCCCACACCCATCCACACATTGCCACCCGCACGTCCACACACACAGGCGCAGCTCAGCACACGTTCACTCCCACACGCACACTCAAATTGACGCTCGAATGCACACGTTCTGAGCTCACACATGCTCACACCCAACTCATGCTTACACTGTGCCTTCACGCGTGCCGTCCACTTAGTTTCTCCTTTGGGCCAAAGAATTGTGGTTTTACCTGGAGGGTGCGGCCAGGGCGGGTCCTGTGGGGAGAGCCGGGGCCGCTCATGCCTCTGCTGCAGGAATGGGGTCCCGTACTCTGGGCTACCCCATCCCATTCAGGCTAACGCGGGTTTCCAACGGATGATTGATCTCAGGCCCTGTGACTGAGTTTCCCCGTCTTCTTGGCTGGGAACTGGGTAAAGAATAGAATGAAGCCGTTGCTCTGTGAAATGAGATACAACATGGTAAACACTGCAGAGACAGATAGAGGACTGTGGGGTGGAAATGGGTGGGGACTTCCAGTGTGCTGGGCGAGGGTGTTTGTGTGTGTGTGTGTGTGTGTGTGTGTGTGCACATGTGTGCGCGTGCACGCATGCACAAGAGGCATGTACACAGCCCTGTGTGGGAGGGTCCTACATATATGTGTAGTTGTATGTATCTAGTTAGTCACACGTGACTGTTGTGTGCATAGTATGTGTGTGTAGGTGTGTGTAGTGCTGAGGTGCACATGGGTGCATGTGTGTGTGCAAGGCTGGTCTCAGGGCAGGCTCCTGGCTGGGGTTGATGGGACAGCAGGCTGGAGGTGGAGCTCCTGTTGCAGGCAGGGCTGGCCTGCGCCTGAGAGTGCAGAAGGCAGAGCGTCACTAGGAAAGCCGTGTGGGCTCAGGAAGCAGCGTGCCCAGAGTGTGGCATTAGGATCGGGGTTCAGCCGGGGCGCTCTGGCTCACACTTCAGTCCTGGCTACTCCAGAGGCTGAGATCTGAGGATTGCAGCTCAAAGCCAGCCTGAGCAGGAAAGTTTGGGAGACTCTCATCTCCAATTAACCACCAAAATGTCAGAAGAGGAACTGTGACTCAAGTGGTAGAGCGCCAGCCTTGAGTGAAAAAGCGCAGGGACAGAGGCCAAGCCCAGAGTTCAGGCTTCAAGACTGGTGTGTGTGTGCACATGTGTGTGCACATGGATGGTCATCAGGATACAATAGTGTTTGGAGTCTGGGGGCTGTTGCATGTGCATACACACACATACACTCACACACACATGGATGGTCATCTGGAGACAGTAGTGTGTTTGTGTCTGGGGGCTGGTGTATGTGCATGCACACACATGCTCATGCATGCACGCATGGATGGTCATCTAGAGACAGTAGTGTGTTTGGTGTCTGGGGGCTGGTGCATGTGCGTGCGCGCGCGTGCACACACACATGGATGGTCGTCTGGAGACAGTAGTGTGTTTGGTGTCTGGGGGCTGGTGCATGCGCGTGCACACACACACATGAATGGTTGTCTGGAGACAGTAGTGTGTTTGGTGTCTGGGGGCTGGTGCATGCCCGTGCACATACACACACGGATGGTTGTCTGGAGACAGTAGTGTGTTTGGTGTCTGGGGGCTGGTGCATGCGCGTGCACGCACGTGCGCACACACACACACACGGATGGTCATCTGGAGACAGTAGTGTGTTTGTCTAGGGGACTGGGACTAGGGTCAGGAGCCGATGGAGACGCAGGGTGAGTGCGAGCAGCCCAGTGGCGAGCTGGGAGGGAGGCCCGAGCCAGCAGCTTGGTTTGGCTGCTTTGGTGGCAGCCTCTGCTGGCTCAGCTTCCCGGCACGGAGGCAGTCCTGGACGGTGACAGGTGGCCTGTGGCAGGGGCTTTTGGTGGCTTGGGCCCCGTGGGAGCAGCCACCGCAGGCCTGGACCACTCACCATCTCCAGGGCTCCCCTGCGGGTCCCTATTCCTGCTCCCACTGTGCCTGGCCCCGGGAGGGAGGCCGGGGGGGCGGGGCTGGCTGCACGAGGTGCATGGTGGGAGCATGCTGCCCCTGAGCCATGTCCGGCTAGCGAGCGGTGCACTGCCACCTGGCTGAGTGTATGCTTTAAACTAAGGTTGTCATCGCAAACCTGCTGCAAAGGCGGCGCAGCAGTCCCGGTGTGCTCACCTTCCGGTGTGCTCACCTTGTGGCTTCTCCGCCCCAACACAGAAGCACATGGACTGGACACCCCCGCCCGCATGCTGCCCCACCACACATCTCCCCAGCGCCAGGGGCTCCCGCCAGCCCCCCCCCCCCAGCTCCCACCCTTCCGTCTGCTCCTCTCACCTCCTCCCTCCTCCGAGGGGCTCTGCGCCTATTACTGCAGAATTGATTGACAAACCAATATCTGGGCACCGGGGTGCTCACACAGCAGGGGAGAGGTGCCAGGGACCCCACTCCAAAGACCACTCAGGAGACAGCCTGGCAGGGCACAGGTGGAAAGAGACGCAGCCATCTCTGGTGGGGGAGGTGACAGGCAGGCTGTGTGGATCTGAGGGGTCTGGAGGGGGACAGGGAGCCGGGAGCATCCGCGAGGGGCCTGGAGGCACGCCCGGCCCCGCCCTGGCTGTCTGCGGGTGCACCGGCTGGCACCAGCATGTAGGAGTGACGTCATGATGTGGGGACCACCTGGCAGGGTGGGGAGTGAGAAGAGAGGGAGGGGGGGAATAGAACCACTGACTGCCAGAGGCCCTGGCTCTGGTGGGCTGCGGGAGCCCCGCTTCATGGAGACCCAATGGGAGACCCCCAGTCCCTGGCTCCCTGGCTTCCGGGTCATGTTTGCAAATGTGTGGAGTTCTAGTCTCTGTACAACCTTCATTGCTCCATTCAGACCTGACGGTGCGGGAAAGCAGGGCGCCTCTGCCCCCCACCCCCCGCTCTCCCTGTCCTCCCCTCCCCTCCCCTTCTCTCCACTTCCCTTCCTTCTTCTCTCTCTCTCTCTCCTCTTCCCTCCTTTTTCTTCTTTCCCCATGCCCCTCCCCTCCTTTCCCCTTCTTCGGATGGATGTTTGGTTTTGGTACCCCTCACCCTCACCCCTGCATCTCCGTCATCTTCTCTCCTCCGCTCCATCCCTGCCCTGGGTGGGTGGCCTCAGCTGGGGCAGGGCCGTGTCTGGGTCTGGGTCAGAGGTCATCTGGGGCCCAGAACTTGCAGGTGACCCTGGGTCTTTCCCTCAGGAAGGGAAAGAATTTGCTGAGAGCAAGAGGCTGCTCTTCATGGAAACTTCGGCCAAAGCGGACTACCAGGTGTCCGAGGCCTTCGCGGCGGTGGGTGAGTGGCCGCCAGGGAGGGGTGTGGCGGTGGCCAGGCCACCCTCCCTGGGACCCTTCTGGTGTCCCTGGGCTGGGAGAAGGAGGAGAGGCGCAGAGCCCTGGCTTTAAGGCTCTTGACACTGCTGGGAGCGCCCGATTCGGGGACCCCCTTCCCAACAGCACTCTTCCCTCTTCCACAGCCCAGGAGCTCCTGCAGAGACAAAAAGCTGGGAACAGCGCCCCCCTGCGGGGGGGTGAAGCAGTGGATTTGAACTCTGGGCCTGCCAGGCAGGTCAAGTGCTGTGCCCACTAGAAGTGGGCACTCCAGGAGAAAGGGGGAGGGACACTCCTGACCCAGCAGGGCCCCAGAGCATCTCCCGCCTCGGCTGTGGCTCTGGGATGAACTTTGACTGTCTGTCTGTCCATCTGGATTCACTTGATGATGGTTGGGTTCAAACCACAGAGGTGTTTGGAAAGTGGCCATGTCTCTTTGCCATGTCTCACGGCCTGGGGAACCATCAGGGAGGGGCCGGCGACACAAGGCTGTCCACCACACGCCGCCGGAGCCGCACCCCGCTAGGCTCCCTGGCCGCTGCCTTGCCACCAACACTAGAGAGACCGGAGAGCAAGGACCAGAGGAGCTGCCACGCGACATGAGCAGAGGGGGTCTGGGGGGAGGTGTCCGCCCGGGGCTGGGCTGGGCTGGTCCTGGAGGGGGCAGCGCTGGGCCCAGTGCGGCTGGGTCCCAGCGAGGTTGCTCAAGGAGGCAGATTCTAATGGGGCACCAGGGGTTCTGGGGCCAGAACTCCTCCTCTGGGGTGCAGCCCCTCCCCTCCCACCGGGGTGCAGCCTTGTTTCCGTCCAGTGATGTGAAGACCTGGATGTTTGTCCTGTGATGGAAGTCGAGCCATGGGTGCGTCTTCTAACAATTAAACGGTCTCTGACCACGTGGCTGATTTTTTGAGGTGTGTATGTGTGTGTGTTTGGGGGGTGGTGTGCAGTGTGGCCTGGTGGTCTTGCCTGCATTCCAGGGTCACTGGTGGTAAGGTCACCCGGAGGTGCTCCGAGGGGCAGGGTGGCTGGTGGGCTGGGACATGTTTTTGGATGATGACGCGTCATCCCTCATGGGTGTTCACGGGGAGCCGAGGCCCCATCCTGGGAGGTAATCGGATGTAGCCATTGTTGAGGGCTGATGTTGGTTTTCATCCTTGCCTCTGGGACCATGAAAAGCAGACACGTGCTTCAATAATAAGACATGGTTACTGGACATGATGAACAGATACGGCTGTCATCCCAACCCTGGGGAGGCTGAGGCAGGAGGTTTGAGAGTTTGAGGCCAGCCTGGCCTTCACAGTCAGCCTTGTTGGGGTGGGGGTGGGAGGATTTTGATCACCAACTGAGGCCTGACTATGTCAGCTGTGCAGATCACAGAGGACAGAGGCAAATGTCCCACCTGGCTGTAGCTTCCCCCGGACAGGGGGCCTGGCCAGCTGGGTGCTCAGTCCTGTCTGCTCTGCCTGGAGAGTACCATGCAGTGCCTGGCCTTGGCCTTGGCCCAGGGGGAGTCCTGGGGTGGGGAGTGGACACAGCAGGCCGCTGGCTGGGACGCTGCCCGGGTGAGCGAGGACCACTGAGTCCTGACAGAGCTCTCTGCTCCTCCAGAGACCCCCCCCCATTATGCAGCTCCCTCCCCCATCCAGCAGTGACGTCTGGATTCTCAGCATCCAACGCAGCCTCAGTGTATTCTAAGGGCCCTGCTGGCATGGTCACCCCAGTTGAAAGGAGCCACCGGGGTCCCCTGGGCGCCAGGTGGACCTGGACTTTCCTGATGAGGTCCTGATGTTCCCCTGGGGTAATGCAGCCTGTGATCTCACTGGATGGAGGCAGACCTGACGTGGCAGGCTCTTTCTCGCCATGATCTGCAGGAACAGCTAAAGGAGGAAGAGTCACGGCCTCCCAGAGGGCTCTTGGCCTCATTCTCCCTGGGGACGATCGCAGTGACCTCTCACCATGTACTGGGCTGGCACTGCAGTTCTGGCAAGTAGAGTTGTCACGTGACCATCTCCTTGCAGGTGACCTAGGTGAGCTGTATGTCCTGGCCTGCCAGACTGTGTCCTCTCCTCTCCTGCCACCTAAATGGAGGCTCCCAGCAGGGCTGGCAGGCAGGCAGGACCACCTTAGATGTCATGATTGCCAGTGGCCACTAGATGGCGGTCTAGCACAGCCTAAGCCTTAAACCGTCTAGTGCTCTTCCTGGGTCCTGGGTCTGGGTCCTGGGTCTGAGTCCTGAGAACTCCTTCCCTCCGCTGAGAACCGTCCACTGAGGGAAGTGGGGGGATACATGGGAGGCTTCGCACGCCTGCCTCTGTGTGTGTGTGTGTGTGTGTGTGTGTGTGTGTGTGTGTGCGCGCGTGCCTACATGTGCGCACACCACCCCTGGAGCTTTGAACTGGGGGCCTTGGCTTTTGCACTAAGGCTGACATACTATCACTCGAGCCACAGCTCCGCTTGTAGTTTTGGTGGTCAGTTGAAGGTAAGAATGCCCTGGACGTTCCTGCCTGGGCTAGCTGCGCACTTTGATGCTTCGATCTCAGCTTCCTGAGTAGCTAGAATGACAGTCGTGAGCGCTGCTGGCCTGCTCATGGGGAGGGAGTTTGTAGGGTACCCGTTGGCTTTGTTCCGGGGGAAGACGGTCTGTGATTTCCCAAATGTGGGGTGCGGGAGCAGACCGCGAGCCAAGGCGCCGCGTCTGTGGGATGGGCTCCCCAGGCTGGCGCGTGGTCCTGGCATAGACTCCAGAGCTGGAGAGGCCCGACCACCCACCATGGCCTAGGCCACCGCCTGGGAAGCTGCCGCAGGCCTCCTTAAACTGGACTGACGCCTGGGGACCGCTCCTGAGCTGTTGAGCTGTGAGTGAGCCTCGGGAGCCCTCTGCCATCTGTCTGTGCCCCATCGGGAGCTCTCTGCTGGCCTGTGCCCCAGCCTCCTCCATCAGATGCTCTCTGCCGTCCCAGCCTGTGCCCAGCCTCTTCCATCCACTCCCTTGTCCCTGCTCTCCTCAGACTCATTAGCTGTCAGCCCCTGGAAGCTGACCACACACTTTGCCACCTTTTCCTTCTGGGCTGGGGGCTGGGAGGCTGGGAGGCTTGGAGGCCAGGGCTGGGGGCTCACACCGGTTGAGTGACTCCCCCATTGTCCAGCAGTTCCTCCCCAGTTGGGACAGACATCCGGGTGGTGGTGGCTCCCCGGGTGGGTGCCCCTCACCACACGTGCGTCCATATCCACAGGACTCATGACGGAGCGTGAAAACCCAGGGGAACCGTGGACTTGGGTGACGGAAACGTCAGCTCGTGCGGCTCATCACCGTGACGGCTGGGTCCTGGGGTGGGTGGGGACCGTGGGCTGTGGGTGACCAAGTGCAGGCCCGGTGCCCCACTCAGGGCTGGGGCCACGGGCAGCTCATAGAGCCTCTGCATCCCAAAGTGGATGCTGTGCTCCGGGTTTCCTACAGGGTTGAGGTCCCGAGGTGAAGTCACCGTCCAGTTGGTTGCCACGTGCACAGATGGGGATGAGCAAGGCCAGAATTTTTATTAGCACTGGAGGGAGAGGACTGGGGAGGAGAGGGTGGGCAGAGGGGTGGGCCAGAGCGGTGGAGCCGGGCGATCATCCATGCTGGAGGGACTTAGCGTCCCCCTCCAAGGGCAGGCAGACCAGCTGGCACCGCAGGCCCAGCCTGGGGACATCCGGCAGGGCTGCTCTCCTCCGGCCGAAGCGGCCCACCGGCCTGATCCTGCGGCCCACATACCAGGCAGGATCGATGTCCGGGGCTGGAAGAGAAAGGCGCAGAGTCCTCGCGTGGACCGCCTCTCCCTGGCTGTCACCTGTCCTGAAGGTGGCTCCTACGCAGCATCCGGACCCACAAGGGGCCCCTCAGCCCCCAGTCCGCGTCAGTCCCACCCAGGCCTCCGGAGGGCTCCCAGTGGGCCTGAGCAGGCTGTTTCCGGGCAGTGGTGAGGCTTAGCAGGCAGAACTCTGGATGTGCACCAGGATCGACCTCCCCTTTTCTGTCCCTCATTCCCCAGGTTCTGAGAGACCAGGCCAGGCTGGGCAGGGGTCTGGGGGAGGGGGAAGGGCTGGTGCCACACTGGCAGAGGTCAGCTCTGAGAGCCGGGCCCTGGCTTAGGAGGGGGGCAGGCTCCATCTGGAGCCGAGGGTGGGGTGAGGCGGACACCAGCCTCTGTGTACTCACTCCGGGTCTCCATGGAGTGCTGGTGAGCCCGGCTTGCGGCCCCCAGCAGGACAAGGCCCAGCAGCAACAGGCACAGGAGCCAGGCCCTCGGAGCCGCCATGCTCCCGGGTCTGGGACTGGGACTCCTGGAGGAGGAGCAGGTGCCGGGAGGACACAGCCTGGGGACAGACCAGCAGCAGCAAGTCACGCACGAGCAAGAGTGCGCGCACAGAGCGAGAGAGCTCAGGGGTGTGCGTGCAATGTGCGCACACGTGTGCAAGTGTTAGGTGTGTGCACGTGTGTACCAGTGCCTGTGGGGCCGGCACAAGTGGGTGTGCATCTAGGTGTACCTGGGCGCCCTGTGTGTGCATGTGTGCGCCTGAGAGTGTGGGACCAAATGCAGGTGGCAGTGCTAGAATGCCTGCTGTCTGTCTGTCCAGCTGTGTTAGGACCCAGGCCGTAGGAGGCAAAGCCAACACGTCTATGGGAGCCACAGGTGTGTGTGTGTGTGTGTGTGTGTGTGTGCACACGCGCACGTGCACACCTGCATGCACACCAGTGGACTCTCTAGCCTCAGACATGCAGGTGGAGTGGCGGGGGGGGGGGGGTGGGGAGCACAGCTGGGCCCAGTGTGGGGTTGGGACCCTGGGGGCACACTTCCTGCCCCGTCTGGGCCCCGGAGTCCTGGCGCTGAGGGCTGGCCTCCACCCTGCCCGCTTGGAGGACGTCAGCCCACAGACAGCCCGGCCTCCAGGCCCTGGGCACCTGCTGCCCCCACGCTGCGTGAGCTTGAGGTGACCTCACAGAGGACGGGGGAGGGGCTGCAGGGGAGAAATGCGCTCCTCTTCCTGGGCAGAAGCGCTGGCCCGCCTGCGCCTGCTGGCCGCGCGCCCATCCGGGAGGCCTGGCCACACCCGCGGGGACCCCTCCTCCCGCCCCCACGCCTGGCCGTTCAGGACCAAGAGCCGGGTCTGCTTCCGGCAAGGTCCTCCGCCCACTCCACGCTCCAGGCTCTTCTGAGCCCTGGAGAGAGAACTGTCTCTCACCCCCTACTTTGGGGGCAAATAGAGGGGCCATTGTGCAGAGTAATAAAGACACCCATCCCCTCCAGTGCTGGCAGTTGACTAGTCAGGAGGCGGAGAGCTGGACGATCTTGGTTCAAGCCCAGCCTGGGCAGAAAAGTTTGCTGGACTCTATCAGTAAACAGATCTGGAGGTGTGGTTTAGGAGGTAGAGAACCAGCCAAGCAAGCAAGCTGAATAAGGACAAGGCCGACTTCAAACCCCAGTACCGGGCTGTTCCTTTAACAGACAACAGGACACATATCCACAAGGTTGGTTCTTTGCTGGCCTGCCTGGGTCAGACACAGACTAAGTGAAGAACATTCTAGAATGAGAGCAATGCTGGCTTCCCGGGGGCACAGGAGACTGTGGTCTGCCCGGTGGGGTTTCCTGGCTATGACTGGAGGGGAGCTGGGCGGCTGCAGCTCCTGTGGACAGCATTTGAACATCAGGGGTCCCAGGGGGGCAAGGGGACCTGGACCCTGGGCCTGCGGGGCTGTCCTGGTGACCCCAGTGACTCTCAGCACCAGGCCAATGCCTGAGCAAGCAGGCTGCCCTCAGCCTGGGCCAGGCAGACGGTTGGCCGCCCGCCCGCCCGCCCTCCTTGCCGGTCACTCACCCACCGATCGGCCTCCAGCGCGCCAGGGCTGCCTGGGCCCCGGCAGGAGTCTGCTCACCTTTTATAACCCGAAACGGGGCGTGGGGACGCCCCCAGACGCCCCCAGACGCCACCTGCGCTCACTGGGCGGCACTGAAGAGGCTTTGGTCTTTTTTTTCTTTCCTTTACTTTTTTCCCCCTTAAATAAAAGCCCTCATCATCAGAGATGTGATTTGTTCCTTCCTGATTTCGTAATTTCATTTGAGCCAAGTGGTTTTAAAACACATTACTCTCTCTGCGCTCGCCTTGGGCAGATGCCATGGCCAAGTGACCGCGTCCTCTGGGCTTGGAGTGCCCTCCCCCCGCTGCCCTCCCCCCCCCGCAACCTCCTGCTCACACAACCCCCTGCCCCACACCCCACCCCGCTCCGCTGCACCCCTGCCTTCTCTACCACCTCACGCAGGCGAGCGGTGGCAGGTGGCACCATGCCCACACCGCTCCCTGCCCCTGGCCTCTCTCTGTCCCTCTCCTCCACCCACAGAGCTTTCCTGGGCTGTACACACTCTGTTTCCATCCTCATTCTCAACTAAAAATGGCTTGCAAGGTATTTTCAGAGGCTTTGTAATTAATGTTGGAACCCATAAACGTTTATTATTAGCTGAGTAGCACTGGCTCACACCTGACACTCTAGCTACTCAGGAGGCTGAGATCTGAGGATCGCGGTTCAAATTAAGCAGGAATGTCTTGAGACTCTTATCTCCAAGGAACCATCAAAAAGCCAGAACTAGAGCTGTGGCTCAAGTGGTAGGGCACCAGCTTTGAGTGGAAAAGCTAAGGGACAGCACCCAGGCTCTGAGTTCAAGCCCCAGTGTTAACACACACACACACACACACACACACACACAAATACATGAACACAAGTGCACACGCACACACACATTTTTTAAATTATAAAACGAAAGGTTTACTTTTAGCATAACCAACCAATTTATTTCATAATGAAAGAACTTGCATTCAGTGGGGAGCAGGCGGCTACCATGAGCAGAGGCTGCGCTGTGCACCTGACGCCCTGCCAGTCTCTGCGTGGCCGCAGCTGGCCATGCCTGTCTGGGCTGGTTCCTCCAGCCGGAGGCACAGCTGCACGCATGCGCTGCTGTAAATAACTGCGGTGTCCGCCATTTCACGTGGGCCTGGGAGCCCTGGCCACTCACGCGGGGGCAAAGGCAGATTATAGGCAGCACCACCGAGTACGCTGGTGTCACTTCTTAGTGGGCGGAGGCCGGGCCGGCTGTGTGCCCCGGGTCTGCACTGGGTCGCCTTGGTGCCCCGTGTGACCTCCAGATTTCTTCAGAAGAGCTTCCACCTTCAGAGACTGGTCTACTCCTTGCCTACCTCTGGCCGGCCTTCCCCACCCCCCAGGTCTGGGGTGGGACAGAGAGAAGGTTGGGGTCCATCCAGGCTGCAGGCTAGTGTCCCTGAGCTTTCCACTCAAGGCTTTTCCTCTCTACCACCGGAGCCACAGCGCCACGTCTGGCTTTTTGGCGGTTCATTGGAGAGAAGAGTCTCACGGCCTTTCCTGCATGCACTGGCTTTGAACTGTGATCCTCAGGTCTCAGCCTCCTGAGTAGCTGGGATTACAGGCGTGAGCCCCCGGTGTCTGTGAACATTCCCCAGTACCTGGTCCCCTCTGACTCTGGGGAGGGGAGACCCAGGGGCAAAAACGCCTTCCGTTTCCGGCCCGTTTGTTGTGTTTTTCTTCATCCATGAAGGGGTTTCAGTGCTTCTCATCAAGCAGTCATTTTTCCTATCAGGACAAATCTAGGCTCCCCAGAGACAAGGTTCAGACACACCGTGTTTCAAGTGTGCCCTCACACTGCCGTTTTGGGGAGAGTCTGTGTGTTTACTCCCCGTCCTCCCGCCTCCCGCAGTCTGCTTGGTTGTGAAGGTTTCATTGACCTTGAACAAGAGCAGGTCTGTCTCCCACGCCTCGATCTCCAAGAGCTGTGCAGGCAAGATGGGGAGCAGGGCGCAGGCCGGGGAGCAGCTCGCCTGGGAGGAGGCTCAAGGAGAGCCATGGTGGACGGGCGAGCCCACGAAGGAGCCAGGGAAGAACTGGGGACGGGGCTGCGGAGGGGCCTGGCCTGTCGCCCGGGGTCTGGGGCTGTGCGTGGCGGCTGCCGGCGGGGAGCCGACACAGACAGGGGGACACGGGAGGCCGTGGGAGGTGCCTGCTGAAGGCCCCGAGGGGAAGGGCGCTGCGGGGCCGTGTCCCCTGTGTCCCAGGGCTGCGGCCTCGGATTCCCTGGGTCCCGTGGGGAAAGCCCACCACGGGGCTGGACGGAGCTGGAGGAGCCCTTGCTCCTCATGGGAGGGAGCCCCAGGCTGGGGAGGACGCCCAGCCAGCCTCAGACGGGCCGGGGACCCCGTGCTTGGAGTGTGCAGCGGGTTTTGCAGTCTTGAGCACAGCCTTTACCCCGGCCCACGACGGGCCCGGCGCTCGCAGGGCCAGGCGGCTCTCGGACGTGGGTCAGGTGTAGCCCAGCCCGCGTCCACAGGAGCCCCCCACTGCAGTTGATCCGCACACGAGGACATGTGCACACTTCACCGGCAAGGCGTCACACCGGCCGAGGGCGGCCCCGTCCAGCGGAGGCGCTCTGCGGGAAGAGGGCGGACATGCAGACCCACAGTGCCCGCCCACGGCCGGCCGGCGGGGCGGGGTGAGCAGCGGCTGCGGGGCCGGCCGAGGCCGTGAGCTGAGCGGAGGCCGTGAGCGGAGGCTGTGAGCGGAGGCCATGAGCAGAGGCCGTGAGCGGAGGCCATGAGCGGAGGCCGTGAGCGGAGGCCGTGAGCGGAGGCCGTGAGCGGAGGCCGTGAGCGGAGGCCGTGAGCGGAGGCTGTGAGTGGAGGCCGTGAGCGGAGGCGTGAGTGGAGGGAGCTGTGCCGGGATTCCGGCCGAGATCTTGGATGTCTCACCTCCCAATGCCGGGGGACTACGCGTGGCTGGCGTCCCAGCTGACAGAGGCGCCGGCACGGGTGGAGTAACTTATGACAGCCCCCCCCCCCCAAATGGCAGTTCTGGTCCGACCTTCCGAGGACCAGAACCTTCCACCCAGCCAGTGCCACAACTCCAAGAGTTAAAGGGACACAAATCCAGTTTCTAGAAAAATCCCTCCTTTCAGGAACAATCACCACCCCCAGGACTTCCCCAGTGGAAGTCCAAGGTCCTGGGACCCTCACACTAGCTGCCCACTCCCCGAGTCCACCTGCCCGCCGACCCCGAGCCTGCCCTCCACCCCCCCAGCCTGCCCTCCACCCCCCCAGCCTGCCCTCCACCCCTCCCAGCCTGCCCTCCACCCCCTCCCCCAGCCTGCCCTCCACCCCCCCAGCCTGCCCTCCACCCCCCCCAGCCTGCCCTCCACCCCGCCAGCCTGCCCTCCACCCCCCCCCAGCCTGCCCTCCACCCCCCCAGCCTGCCCTCCACCCCCCCAGCCTGCTCTCCACCCCCCCCCCAGCCTGCCCTCCACCCCGCCAGCCTGCCCTCCACCCCCCCCAGCCTGCCCTCCACCTCCCCAGCCTGCCCTCCACCCCCCCAGCCTGCCCTCCACCCCCCCACCCCAGCCTGCCCTCCACCCCCCCAGCCTGCCCTCCACCCCCCCAGCCTGCCCTCCACCCCCCCCAGCCTGCCCGCCACCCCCCAGCCTGCCCTCCACCCCCCCAGCCTGCCCTCCACCCCCCAGCCTGCCCTCCACCCCCCAGCCTGCCCTCCACCCCCCCAGCCTGCCCTCCACCGCCCCCCCCAGCCTGCCCTCCACTTCCCCAGCCTGCCCTCCACCCCTCCCAGCCTGCCCTCCACCCCTTCCCCCAGCCTGCCCTCCACCCCCCCCCAGCCTGCCCTCCACCCCTCCAGCCTGCCCTCCACCCCCCCCCAGCCTGCCCGCCGCCCCCCCAGCCTGCCCGCCACCCCCCAGCCTGCCCGCCACCCCCCCCCAGCCTGCCCTCCACCCCCCCAGCCTGCCCTCCACCCCCCCCAGCCTGCCCTCCACCCCTCCCAGCCTGCTCTCCACCCCCCCCAGCCTGCCCTCCACCCCCCCAGCCTGCTCTCCACCCCCCCAGCCTGTCCTCCACCCCCCCCAGCCTGCCCGCCGCCTCCCAGCCTGCCCGCCGCCCCCCAGCCTGCCCTCCACCCCCCAGCCTGCCCGCCGCCCCCCAGCCTGCCCTCCACCCCCCCCCAGCCTGCCCTCCACCCCCCCCAGCCTGCCCGCCGCCCCCCAGCCTGCCCGCCGCCCCCCAGCCTGCCCTCCACCCCCCCCAGCCTGCCCTCCATCGCCCCCCCCAGCCTGCCCTCCACCTCCCCAGCCTGCCCTCCACCCCCCCCCAGCCTGCCCTCCACCCCCCCCCAGCCTGCCCTCCACCCCCCCAGCCTGCCCTCCACCCCCCCCCAGCCTGCCCTCCACCCCTCCCAGCCTGCTCTCCACCCCCCCCAGCCTGCCCTCCACCCCCCCAGCCTGCTCTCCACCCCCCAGCCTGCCCTCCACCCCCCCCAGCCTGCCCGCCGCCCCCCAGCCTGCCCGCCGCCCCCCAGCCTGCCCTCCACCCCCCAGCCTGCCCGCCGCCCCCCAGCCTGCCCTCCACCCCCCCCCAGCCTGCCCTCCACCCCCCCCAGCCTGCCCGCCGCCCCCCAGCCTGCCCGCCGCCCCCCAGCCTGCCCTCCACTCCCCCAGCCTGCCCTCCACCGCCCCCCCCAGCCTGCCCTCCACTTCCCCAGCCTGCCCTCCACCCCCCCCAGCCTGCCCTCCACCCCCCCCCAGCCTGCCCTCCACCCCCCAGCCTGCCCTCCACCCCCCCAGCCTGCCCTCCACCCCCCCCCCAGCCTGCCCTCCACCCCCCAGCCTGCCCTCCACCGCCCAGCCTGCCCTCCACCCCCCCCAGCCTGCCCTCCACCCCCCCAGCCTGCCCTCCACCCCCCCCAGCCTGCCCTCCACCCCCCCCAGCCTGCCCTCCACCCCCCCCCCCCAGCCTGCCCGCCGCCCCCCAGCCTGCCCGCCGCCGCCTCTGGCCTCCGGGAGGGAGCGGCTTTCCCCTGGCATTGCGGCAGTGAGCCTGCCCTTGCTGGGTCTCTGTCCTGTCCACCCTTGAATTCTTTCTCTGAGGGGACCAAGTCCTCTGGCGTGGCCTGGCTGCTGCTCCACTCCCAGGCCGTGGGTCTTTGCTGGCAGAGCCTGAGTGAAATGCATCTCCTTTAGCTTGGGCCCAGAAGAAATGAGATGCTCGGGGCTGGGGCCTGCGTGTTTATTAAGCCCAGCCTGGACGCCTGTAAGGGTGCGAGGGTGCGGTACAATGCGGCGGGAAGAGGCGGTGCTGGGGGGGTCACGGGGTGCTGGGGGGTCACGGGGTGCTGGGGGGGTCACGGGGTGCTGGGGGGGTCACGGGGTGCAGGGGGGTCACGGGGTGCTGGGGGGTCACGGGGTGCTGGGGGGGTCACGGGGTGCAGGGGGGTCACGGGGTGCTGGGGGGGTCACGGGGTGCTGGGGGGGTCACGGGGTGCAGGGGGGGTCACGGGGTGCAGGGGGGGTCACGGGGTGCTGGGGGGTCACGGGGTGCAGGCAGGCTGTGCGGGACTGCGCCCCATCAGCAACACTGCTCCCATGTTTTCAGGGGCAGTTGTGTAGACAAGGAAGTCTCTGTGCTGTGAGTGGCACTGCCAGGAGGTGGAGGAGGTTTGTGGTGGAGGAGGTTGGAGGTGGAGGAGGTTAGAGGTGGAGGAGGTTGGAGGTGGAGGAGGTTGGAGGTGGAGGAGGTTGGAGGTGGAGGAGGTTGGAGGTGGAGGAGGTTGGAGGTGGAGGAGGTTGGAGGTGGAGGAGGTTGGAGGTGGAGGAGGTTGGAGGTGGAGGAGGTTGGAGGTGGAGGAGGTTGGAGGTGGAGGAGGTTGGAGGTGGAGGAGGTTGGAGGTGGAGGAGGTTGGAGGTGGAGGAGGTTGGAGGTGGAGGAGGTTGGAGGTGGAGGAGGTTGGAGGTGGAGGAGGTTTGGAGGTGGAGGAGGTTGGAGGTGGAGGAGGTTTGTGGTAGAGGAAGTTGGAGGTGGAGGAGGTTGGAGGTGGAGGAGGTTGGAGGTGGAGGAGGTTGGAGGTGGAGGAGGTTTGTGGTGGAGGAAGTTGGAGGTGGAGGAGGTTTGTGGTGGAGGAGGTTTGGAGGTGGAGGAGGTTTGGAGGTGGAGGTTTGTGGTGGAGGAGGTTTGTGGTGGAGGAAGTTGGAGGTGGAGGAGGTTTTGAGTATGAGGTTTGGAGGTGGAGGAGGTTGGAGGTGGAGGAGGTTAGAGGTGGAGGAGGTTGGAGGTGGAGGAGGTTTGGAGGTGGAGGAGGTTTGTGGTGGAGGAGGTTTGTGGTGGAGGAGGTTTGGAGGTGGAGGAGGTTTGGAGGTGGAGGAGATTTGTGGTAGAGGAAGTTGGAGGTGGAGGAGGTTTGTGGTGGAGGAGGTTTGTGGTGGAGGAGGTTTGGAGGAGGAGGTTTGTGGTGGAAGAGGTTTGTGGTGGAGGAGGTTTTGAGTATGAGGTTTGGAGGTGGAGGAGGTTGGAGGTGGAGGAGGTTAGAGGTGGAGGAGGTTTGAGGTGGAGGAGGTTTGGAGGTGGAGGAGGTTTGTGGTGGAGGAGGTTGGAGGTGGAGGAGGTTGGAGGTGGAGGAGGTTGGAGGTGGAGGAGGTTGGAGGTGGAGGAGGTTTGTGGTGGAGGAGGTTGGAGGTGGAGGAGGTTGGAGGTGGAGGAGGTTGGAGGTGGAGGAGGTTTGAGGTGGAGGAGGTTTGGAGGAGGAGGTTTGGGAGGTGGCGGGCGTGTGGGAAGTGGTGGTTTCAGGAGAAGTGGGCCTTTGGGGGCAGGTGCACGTTGGCGAGGTGGACGCTGTACTGTCACGGCCCGTGGACCGTGGGGACTGAGAGCCGTGGGTGAGGCGTGGGGGTCAGTGGTCACTGGCTGCGTGGCTAGTGTCCGCTCTCACCTGCCTGCCCTCCACCCCATCAGGCTGTTCACGGGCTGGAGCCTTCACTGAACAGGAGGTCCCAGGGGAAAGGGCTGCCGTGTGCAGCATTGTCCTGTGTCCCCAGGCCGGAGGCTGGCAGGTGGCCCTGGCTTCCCCGGTGGCCTTGTGGAGCGGCCGAGGGTCTGCGAGCGGTCACATGATCTCCCCCGTGATCGTGGTGAGCAGCAGGCAGCCCGGAGGCCACACGGCCCAGTGGCCCGTGGAGGGGCGGCGTGGGACATGCGGACGCTGTCATCAGCCCTGCTCCCCTGCACCTCGCCCTCAGGGCTGCTGGGCCATCACAGGTTTCTGTGGAACACAAACACACAGATGTGTGAGTGTGCCACACAGGAACAGAATCACAGGCACATGTGCACACCAAAAACATACGAACAGGAGTTCACACAGATGCGCACACACACACAAGGGTGGACGCATGGTGTACACACAGACTTGCACACAGACACACACATGAGCACTTATATATTACAGATGTGGGTGTACACACAGACAGGAACATGTGCCATGTACATGCACATACAGCTATGCATGTATGGACACATCTGTGACACACAGATACACGCATGACCTTGCATACAGACACAGCAGCACACAGACATATGTCTGTGCAGGTGTGGAGATGGCACACACAGGCCAACACAATGCACATGTGTGCACACAGACACACACCAGCACATATATGGTCACACACATGCGCACACACAAAACATGTGCAGTGTGCAGATGGAGCACACTGGCCAACAGGTATACACGCGGGTACACAAACACATCCTATGCACACAGGAACACATGATGCACCCCCACTCGGACACAGGCATCAGATGCTGGCTGCTGCCTCTCTCCAGGCATTGGCCCGTCCCTTGGGAGTCTTGACTCACACTCGTCTGCCTCTGTCTCCCCAGCTATGAGGTTGGGTCAGACACAGGCTGGACTCTGTGCGGACAGAATCAGAAATCTCTCACACCCAAAGCTCTCCCTGGAGGAGGGTGTGGAGCTCGCTGGAAAGCCTGTGGAGTTTCATGTCCCCATAGACAGGCACGCACCCCCTTGCCGCTGTCCTTGTCGAGCATGGCATGCTCGGGCCCTGGGGACACAGGGAATCACTGGCTGCGGTAACTCTCCCTTCCCCATGTTCCCTATGACCATCCGGGGCTTTCTGCACGAACAAAGGTCACAGCACCAGGACAGCCTTATTCTGACGGTCATGCATCAGAAGCTATGGCTCAAGTGGTAGAGCTTCAGCCTGCAGTGCAGAGGCTAAGGGATAGCGCCCAGGCCCGGAGTTCAAGCCCTAATACTGACACCAAAAGGAAGGAAAGAAGGAAAAAGGGAAGGAAGGAAAGACGGAAGGAAGAGAGGAAGGAAAAGAGGAAGGAAAGAAAGGAGGGAAGAAAAGAAGGGAGGAAGGAAGGAGGGAGGGAGGGAAGGAATGGAAGGAGGGAGGAAGGAAGAAATGGAAGGAGGGAGGAAGGGAGGGAAGAAGGGAGGAAGGAAGGAGGGAAGGAGGGAAGGAGGGAAGGAAGAAGGAAGGAAGGAGGAAAGGAAGGAGGGAGGGAAAGAGGGACGGAGGGAAGGAGGGAAAGAGGGAAGAAGGAAGGAAGGAATGGAAGAAGGGAGGAAGGGAAGAAGATAGGAGGGAGGGAGGGAAGGAAAGAAAGAGAGGAAGGACCTTTGAGTGATGGGTGGCACACACCTGTAATCGCAGCCGAGAGAGGCTCAGGCAGGAGGGCTCTGAGTTCCAGGTCAGCCAGGGCTACCTGTTAGAATCCTGTCACAACCAACCAACCCACCAATCAAACGAGCAGCAAGAGAGAAGGCGTTACCGCGAAGACGTGTCTGGCCTCCTTCCTCCCGTTGGGGTTCCTTTGGGTCAGGGAGCCTCGGGACAGGGACTTCCGATCAAAAGAGCTGTTGCCTTTGCCGGGTGGGAAGAGGACAGAGGTGTTTTACCATCACACCACCCTCCTTGGGGGCTCGGCGCGGTGGCCATGGGCGGCACCCCGCCCCCACCCCGTTGGGGAGTTTCGTTTCTGTGCCCAGCTCACTGCTGCCCGCGGCCGCAGGCCTCCTTCCACTCCTGCGGGCAGTGCTGCCCCCTGGCCACACCGGGCCGCAGGGCGGGAACTGTGCCAGCATGGCTGACGCCCAAATCCAGCCAGAACCCCGGGGTAGCGGCACTGCCCTTGTGGGCTTCCCGCCACCCAGAATGCCTCGTGCGGGGTGCGGTGGCCACAGGGGCCCGGGTGCCCTTCAGAGCCAGGACCCGGATGGAAGATGCAGGGCTCTCCTGCCCCCCCCTCCCCCCAGCTGTCTCTCACCTGGGTTTTTAGGGCCAGGCTTCCTGGGAAGGAGGCGGGGCGGGGCTGCCCCCTGCAGGAAGAGAGCATCGCAGGTGTCACTAAGCTCACAACAGCCAACCGAGCTGCAGCGGCTCCCTGGTCCCCAGGCTCCGGTTAGCCAGGCCGATGGCACCACCCGAACCCTGAGCGGTACGTGCTGCTCGCGTGTTGGGCTGCTCCGTGTTGGGGAGATGCCGGCTTTGGGCAGTGTGCAGAAAGAGCACAAGTTTCCAGCCCCACGGGTCTGGGCTTGTGCTTCTCCCTTATGACACCTTCTGTCCTTACCACCAGCTTACTGTCCCCTGTGAATCTGCCTCTGTCCAATGGCTGCATGGGAGGTGGTGGGAGGTGGTGGGAGGTGGTGGGAGGTGGTGGGAGGTGGTGGGAGTGGTGGGAGGTGATAGTCCCCTGCTCCCCCCCCCCCCCCCCCGTCCTGGTGTCTGCTCTGCCCCGGCCCTGTCCGGTCTCGCTCAGCACCGCGGGCTCCTCAGGGTGGGGCTTCCCTCGACTGGGGGGGCACCTGGACAAGCGGAGCTGGGTGGGCAGTGCCCAGGTCTCGGCCACCGGGGCTCTGTCGGGCAGTGTGGCTCCCGCAGCCCTTGCCCTGGTGTGTGTGTGTGCGCTGCTGGGCCTGTGCTGTGCCACGTGGGCACGGGCCATGGGCCGGCCCGGGACAGAGGCATGTCCCCCCAACAAACCCGGAGGACAAGCCAGGCTGCTTCCCCCCATGCCCCCATCTGTGAGTGTTCTGCAGGGTGCCCGTGTCCCGGGCCGGGCTCCTGCCCACGGCCAGCTCCTGCGTCTCTCGGACGGAGGACAGTGGAGAAGCCGGGCTGCTCAGGGAGCAGGAAGGCCCAGGGGCTGATCGGTGCCGAGGAGGGACAAATGCCCCAGCTGGACCATGCCCGGTGCCACGTCGGCTGTTCCCCGAGGTCCCGTGCAAGTTTGCGGGGTGTCTGGGCTTGCTCCCTTCCCTTCTGGGCCCCGTTTCCCTTCATCCACTAGGTTCTTGGGGAAACACAGACCCTTGTGTCTGCACCTCCCAGAAAGCCGTCCACGGGGTCACCGAGTACTTAGAGAGCAGGCCTCAGCCCCCAACATGGGGACCCCCGCCCATGCGTGCCGGGCTGGTTGACCTTTGACTCTGTGTGGAGGGAGCAGTGTCACACACACCTGGACCTCGTCCGCAGGGTCATTCTGAGCCAGTGGACTCTTGCCAAGTTTCCCAGCGACTCGAGGAAGAAAGATCTAGAAGCCAAGGAAGAAATGCATGTTGTGACGGCCACGTTGACTATAGCAAGCTGTGGGCACGAGTCGGGCTTGCCTGGAGGACAGAGGATGGACATTTTCTTGGTCAAGATTGCAAGGTGAGCAGAGCCGTCACCCGGCTCCAAACACACTGATGCAGGGCTTGGGGCCGGGCCCCGGGCTTGGGAAGTAACTTGCAATTCCAGATGAACAATGAGGATTTGGTAGTAGAAGCAGGCTGTAATGGTCACAGGGAAGAAACTGAAGAGAGGGTATCACAGGAGCCGGACATGCTGGACGCTCCCTGACCCTCTCTGGAGGTCCTCAAGATCCCCTCATTCTTCTACCACCTCTCTTCCTCAGCCTGTTTCTGGTGGAAGCGTCCTGATAACTTGGGCAGGTGCCAGCTTCGATCCCTACCAGGCGGGCAGGGCCTGTGCCTTTCTGTCTCTCTCCTACCCTCAGTGGCTTCTCTTGTGAGTTTTAGATTCAGGAGTTCAGACTGGCCTTGAACTCTCGGTTCTCTTCTCTCAACCTCCCAAGCGTAGGATTATAAACCCGAACCACCAGGCCTGGCAAAAGTAACATCTATCTTAAAATGTGTTGAGTCTCCTAACTTTAAATCATTTTCCCCATTCAGGCTGCTTCTTTTGGCTTTTCAAACATGTTTTAAATTCTGCAGGCAGCCGGGAGCCGGCGGCCCTCACCTGTCAACCTAGCTATGCAGGAGGCTGAGGGGGAAAGACCGTGGCTCCACGTCAGCCTGGGCAGGGAACTTTGACAAGACTCTGACCTCCAATGAATGTCCCAAAAGCCAGAGGAGAGATGTGGCTCAGGTGGTAGAGCACCAGCCTTGAGTGATATAGTTAAGGCACAATGACAGGCCCTGAGTTTAAGTTGGAATCCTGGCATGAAAAAAAATCCAGGCAGAGGCTGGGGTTTCTCCATTGGAACCCATCCATATCATCTCTACACAGGAAACAAGGAAGCCTCAGCACGGACACAGCTCACGGAGGGTCCATCGGAAGCAGAGGGCAGCTGCAGGGCAGCGGGAAGCCGCCCGGCCTCCGCAGCACCTGGCGAGGCCCCGGGAGACCTCAGCCGCAGCTGGGCCTCCACTCACCGGGAGGCTGGATTTCCTCCGGGGCTTTCCTGAGGGCTTCACCGTGAGCCCCGCAGCCCTCAGAGCTGCGATCCGGGACTCGATGTCTGAAACCTGCAGAGACAGACAGACAGTCAGTCAGGCAGTGAGACAGATGCCAGGGCTCAATGTCCCAAACCTGGAGAGATGCAGACAGACAGACAGACAGATTGAGTCAGACAGTTAGATGCCAGGGCTTGATGTCCAAACCTGGAGAGATTAAGACAGATGGACAATCAGACTGAATCAGACAGACAGACAGTCAGAATGGCAGTGTTGGATAGATGCCAGAGCTTGATGTCCCAAACCTGGAGAGATGCAGACAGTCTGTCAGACAGACAGACAGGTGCCAGGACTCAATGTCTGAAACCTGGAGAGACACAGACAGACAGATAGATGCCAAGACTTGATGTCCCAAACCTGGAGAGACACAGGCAGACAGACAGACAGACAGATGCCAGTCAGTGACAGGTTGGAAGGAGCAGCCCCACCCCTGGTTGGCTGGTGCAGCAGAGTTTGCATGGGGCTCCCGTGAAGGTGATGTCCCCCAACCCCTTGTGGGGTTCTGTGTGCTTTCTGGGAAGTCTGGATCCCACAGGGTGCTGGGGAAAGACAGCCTCTCCTCCTATAGAGGACAGGAGAAGCTTCTAGAAACATCACCCTACCACGTTTCTTTTTTGTGGTAATCAGGATAGAACCCAGGGCCTCACACACCCCAAGCCTGTCTTCTATGCTCTCTACCACTGAGCCACAGCGCCAGTCCCTCCCCTGACTGTTCTCTGAGCCCCCAGAGTTCTCTAGCAATTACCTTCCTCTGGGACCTGCCTCTTTCATTCCTTGCGTGTTTCAGGATTTCACTGCTGATCTTTGAACACACCAAGCCTCACCCTATCCCAGGACGTTTGCATATGCTATTCTGTCCGCCTGTGTTCTTGTTCCCCTCAATTTTCTGTGTGGGTGTTCCTCCCGTCTCCTCTGCTCATTCACCCTGCAGGCTGTGGGGTTCCCCCTACTCATTGCCTTCGTAGCCCTCTTGAATGCTGGTGCCTGCTTGTTGTCTGGGTCTTGCTCCTAAGAATGGAAGCATCGTGGAGCAGCTGGCCTGGGTGCTCGCCGGCATCCTTGGGCCCTCACGGCCATGCTGGGACGGGGAGTCAGCCTCTCACGGCCATGCTGGAACGGGGGTCACCTCCCTGGCCATGCTGGAATGGGGAGTCAGCCTCTCACAGCCGTGCTGGAACGGGGAATCAGCCTCTCACAGCCATGCTGGAACGGGGAGTCAGCCTCTCACAGCCATGCTGGGACAGGGGGTCAGCCTCTCATGGCCATGCTGGGACGGGGGTCACCTCCCTGGCCATGCTGGGACAGGGGGGGGTCACCTCCCTGGCCATGCTGGGACGGGGGGTCAGCCTCTCACGGCCATGCTGGGATGGGGGGGGTCACCTCCCTGGCTGTGCCGTGCTTCACTGGGCACAGGCGGGCACCCGCTGGGGCCGGTGCGGGCGGCCTGCAGCTGGGGCACTGTCCGCTCTCCGCAGCGCAGTGAGGAGAACAGCGCAGGCCCAGTCACCCTGTGCCACTCGGGCCTGGGCTTGGTCCAGGCCTGTGTCCAGCATGGAGCAGCAGGGCCGAACTAACATCTCAGCCACCCCCAGCTCCTGGTCACCGGATGGACAGCATCCAGAACGTTCTCTCACCTGCCCTTCTCAAGAACAGGGCAGGGGGGAGGATGGGCCCCGTGGGGAACCCCAAGCCCATGCTCTGTCCCCCTGGCCTCTGGGGGGTGCTATCAGCACTGCCCAGCCCCATGGCTGGCGCTGGCCCCCTTGGGGAACCCGTACCCCCACCCCAGGCCTCGGAGCTACCTCGCTCTCGGCCTGCTCGACTTGGGACGCCGTCTTGGCCACTCTGTCCTCCAGCTCAGACAGCTCCTCGTCCGTGGTCCTGCTGGGCGGGACGGCGTCCCAAGGGGCCTGGGGGCTTCTCCGCAGGTCTGGGAGACCTGACGCTGGCCACACCTGAGGGTGGACGCTGGTCACCGCGCAGCCGGCGCAGGGCCTGCCGGTCTCTGAGCCCCAAGTGCCCTTCCTTGATCCTCCCTCCCTCTCCCTCCCTCCCTCTCCTCTCCTCTCTCTCCCTCCCTTCTTTCTTTTATCCTTTCTGCAGTACTGGGGTTTGAACTGAGGGCCTGTATTTTTTCTTTTTTCTTCTTTGCTGCTTAGGATCGAGATAGGCTCTGTGAACCTTCCTGCCCAGGCTGGCCTTGAACTACAGTCCATCCATTCTCAGCTGCTCATGGTCAAGCACGGCCTGAGTCCTGAGAGCCTGGCTGCAGTCCACTCTTAGCGGCCGACCTCCGGGCAGCCGGCCATTGGCCTTGCATAGGGCTGCCCGGCTGCTCACGCAGGACCGTCCATCACGCCCGGCCTCTGGGCCTGATCACTCACCTCCGGGGCTGCGCCCGGCAGGACGCCAGCTGGACCAGCCTCCGCCTCCCGGCCTTCCTCTTCCTCCTCCTCCGTGGAGTTCCCCTGGTCACTGATGTTGGAGGTCAGCTCCTCCAGCCTCCTTCTCAGGGCCTCCTCCTCCATGTCGGCCTCTGAGTGTGCTCCGGTGGCCAGATGCTAAGCAGAGCAGACGATGCTGAGGGGTGGCCATGGGGGGATGGGGGGATGGGGGGACGGGAGGATGGGGGGACGGGAGGACGGGAGGACGGGGGGACGGGAGGATGGGGGGACGGGGGGATGGGAGGACGGGGGGACGGGGGGGACGGGGGGACGGGGGGGACGGGGGGACGGGGGACGGCAGCCGCCCCACGCTCTGCTCTGGGCCCGCTGGAGCACCGTCCCGCCTCCTCTCCACGTGAGCCCGAGGACGTGGCCTTTCACCAAGGGCTCCGCACCTCCGCTCTAGGACACACAACCACCCCGGCCACACGACACTGAACGCGTCCCCTCCTGAGGCGGCTCTGACAGGATCCCTGCGTCACCTCTGCCCGTCTTCCCCACAGCCATTCCTGCAGGCTTGGCCTTCCGAAGGCGCCAGGGCCTGTCTGTCTGCCACCATCTCCACAGCTCTGCCCGGGGCCTGTCTGTCTGTCTGCCACCATCTCCACAGCTCTGCCCGGGGTCTGTCTGTCTGTCTGCCACCATCTCCACAGCTCTGCCCAGGGCCTGTCTGTCTGCAACCATCTCCACAGCTCTGCCTGGCTCACCTGCCCCCTGCTGCAGCCCGGCCAGCACAGTGGCCTCCCAACTGCCCGCCTCACTTCTGTCCCTGCACCCACAGCCTTCCCACCATCACCCCCTCCCCCACCCCATGTCACCCTCCCAGAGAAGCGCAGGTCCAGAACCCCCACCGCCCCTGCTGTGTGCGCAAACTCAGCCCCGACTTCCTGCGCCAATGCCACCCAGAGGCCAGGGCTTTGGGGTCCGTTGGGATCAGAGGCTGTTGTGAGGGTTGGTGAGCTCCCAAAGTGGAAGAAGGGCTGGGGTGCTGGTACACAGGAGGCTGAGGCTGGGAGGTCTCGAGTTCAAGGCCCTCCTGAGCTACATGGTATTAGGATTTCTAAAGGAGGAGGAGGAAGAGGATGGGGAGAGGAAGAGGAGGAGGAGGAAGAGGGGAAGAGGAGGAGGAGGAGACCAAGAGGAGGAAGAGGATGGGGAGAGGAGGAGGAGGGGAGGAGGAGGAGGGGAGGGGAGGAGGGGGAGGATGGGGAGAGGAGGAGGAGGGGAGGGGGAGGAGGAGGCAGTGTGCGCGGGTGAGTTTGCTCTTCCTGGCTGTGGATGTTCTGCTGTGTTCCGGCACAGCCCGCGGCCCTCGCCATGCTGGCCCGGACTCTCTGGTCTTCAGAACGGCAGGGAGCAATTCCTTTATTTTATTATTATTCTTTTTGTTGGTCGTGGGGCCTGAACTCTGGGCCTGGGCGCTGTCCCTCAGCTCTTCAGCTCAAGGCTAGCACGCTACCACTTGAGCCACAGCACTACTTCTGGCTTTTTCTGTTTCTGTGGTGCTGAGGAATCGAACCCAGGACCTTCATGCATGCAAGGCAAGCACTCTACCACTGAGCCACCTTCTCAGCCCCAGCAATTCCTTTAATTTTCTCCCTTTCAGTTATTTTGCCGCTGCAGCGGAAGACAGAGGTAGCATGCTCTGCCCACGCCGGCCTCACCCCCGCGCCCCCCACCCCCCCAGCCCCTGGCTTCCTTCCCTGGTCTGGGACCCATGGCCCCAGGCTGCTCTGGCTGGGTGGCCGCCCTGCTCTCCGCTGATGCCCACGCTCAGCCCCTCCCTGCTGATTCCCTTCTGCCTTCCTCCACTTGCTGACCTCCCTTCTGGTCATTGGGCATATTTCCTGCCTCCTCCAACTAGAGCAGAAAGACTGTAAGACATGAAGCAGGTGCTGCCGCCAGTTTGTTTTTGTGTGTGGTAGTACTGGGGTTTCGAACCCAGGACCTTGTGCTTGCTCTTCTGCGCTCTACCACTTGAGCCTGCCCCCACCTCCTCCTTCCACTTTTGTTCTCTGCCACCTCCCTGCACCAGGAAGCAGGGCCGGGCACACAGCTGAACCCGTCTGGCTCTTTTGGGGTTCTATAGACCCACATGGCCACTTAATAATATAACCATGGAGCCGGGCGCTGGTGGCTCACACCTGTAATCCTAGCTACTCAGGAGGCTGAGATCTGGGGATGAGTTTAAAGCCAGCCCAGGCAGAAAAACCCATGAGAATCTTATCTCCAGTAAACTACTCAGAGGAAGCTGGATGTGGCACGGTGGCTCAAGTGGTATAGGATTAGTCTGGAGCAAAAGAAGCTCAGGGATGGTGCCTAGGCCTCGAGTTCAAGCCCTGGGACTGGCACACACAGAGAATACAGCCTTGAAGACGGAGAGCACTTCACCCACCATCCTCAGCTGGTCCCACACAGCCGGTGGCTGGGTCTGGCCGGCGCCTCCTCCTCACCCCTCCCTTGGGGGCCTGGCACCCACATTGCTCGGGAGAGCTGAGCGGAGGAAGTTACTCACGGCCCCTGCCCCGCTCACGCACCGGCATTGGATCAATTTCCTCTCTGAATGAACCTATTAGCTATTAGGTCAGCATGCCCACACCTGGGCCTCTCAGCGGGACACGAGGAGGCTGATTAGATTGGGCTGATGGGGGGAGTACCCGGCATTGTCTGGGGTCTCTTTTATGGGAGTCCTCTTTCCTGGTAAGGCTCAGAAATGGGAATCCTTCAGAGCCTGTGGTGCCAGCCTGCAATGCCAGCCTCCAGAACCACAGTGGAGCAAAGCTCAGCTCTTTGTAAACTGCTAGGTCACCAGGGGACAGTTCAAGCAGCACAGTTGGGCCATGAGCTGTCTACCCAGCACGTGGTACCTGAAGACCCCGCCCATGAGATGCCCGGAGACCCCGCCCAGGAGGCGCGGTGGGGGGGGGGGCCCTTCCCAGCTGTGGCCAGGCCCCACACTGTGGATTCCACCAGGCTCCTCCCAGCTCTGATTTCTCATTCCCTTTCTGGTTCCTTCCTGCCTGAAGTCCTCGGGGCTCTGGCTATGGGGTGGCCCTGGCTTGGACGGGAGGAAGGGGCTCACGTGGGGGGTGGGGGAGGACCACTCTGGCTCTCTGAGCTCTGTGCAGAGTCCAGGTCCCGGGCTGGGGAACCTCTGGTCGCGGCTTCCACGGCCAGAGCTGCAGCCCCGCGCTCTCTGCCAGCCGGGGGAGTTACCTGGGCTGCGGGAGGCGGGACGGCCGTGCTCTCCAGGTGTGTGAGCAGCTGTTCCACGGCGGACACGCGCTTGCTCAGCTCAGAGATCTGCAGCAGAGACAGAGGAACGGTGGTCGCCGGCCGGGACACGGCGTCCACCTCCGAGGCCCGTCCCACCCGGCCACCGCCTGCCTCGCAGCTGCGGCTCGCCGTGAAACCTCTCCTCCTTTCTTTTTTCTTTCCTTTCAAAAAATTTTGGCAGTGCTGGGGCTTGAACTCAGGGCCTACACTTTCACCTGGCTTTTTAAACTCAAGGCTGGAACTCTATCCCTTGAACCACAGCTCCACTTCTGGCTTTTTGCTGGTTCTTTGGAGATAAGCGTCTCCAAGATGGTCCTGCTCAGGCTGGTTTTGAACCTCCATCCTCAGATCTCAGCCTCGTGAGTAGCTAGGATGTCAGGTGTGAGCCGTGGATGCCTGCCTGACATATCTGACATATCCCTGACGTATCTGACCTCACCAAGCAGAACCTGGGAACGGAACAAAGGCAGAAGGCGACGGTCGGGGGGGAGGAGACAGCGGTGAGCCGAGAGGTCCAGCCACATGGAGTGGCCAGGTTCTAGAGGTGGTGACCTGATCATCGTGCGGGGCAGCCATGGTCACTGCGAGTCTGATCTGCACAGCCAGGCCTGAATTAAGCCGGTGACTAAGCCAGGGTGCTGAGCTAGTGAGCGCGGGGGTCAGGTGACCTCAGCGGCCAGAGCCTCTCACCCTGAGTCACCAGACCCCCGGCCCTGCCAGCCTCTCAACTCCCGGGCGGAGATGGAAAAATCAATGCCTCTTAGCGTGCTTTCTCCCGCCAGGCGCATCTTTCCCTGAATTATTGAATTTTCATCTCGCCGGGCCCTCAGAGAGGGAAATGACGCCGAGGAGCGCCAGACACTGCGCAGCTGGGAGGGTAATTAGTTCCATCTCCACGGTGCTGGGTGAGAGGAGGTGTATACGCTGGAAATGTCCAGCCCAGCGTGGCGGTCCTGGGCCGGCCTTGAGCGGCAGCCGGGGTGCGGGCCACATGGCTCTGGTCATTTAGGGGTGATCAATACCCGGGAATGCTCGGCGGGGGCCTCTGGGCCCGGCAGACGGGGCGCACACAGGGACCTGGGGCAGGAGGGGAGCGTCCCCTCCCCCGTCAGTGCCCACTGAAATGCCACATTCAGCCAGAGGCCAGGGAGGACAGTCCCGCAGGAGAGGCTGGTGTGTGGGGGTCTCATCTGGGTCTAGAAGGAGGCGGGGAGCTGGGGCTGGAGGTGGAGGAGGCTGTGTAAGGTCCAGGGGTGGAAGGCACTGGCAAGCTGGCTCAGTGGGCCTCCGTCTGGCCCTGCCACGAGGCCCTGGCCGTGGGAACAGGGACACCAGGCCAGCCCAGACACGGGCCACAGTGCCACCCTGGCTTCTGTCTGGTGTCTATCAAGTCAATCAAATCCACAGAGTGGCTTCTTGGGGCCTCTGCAAAGGAAAACCCAAGCAGCTTCATTCTCTCTGGGACACGCCAGGAGATGTGGACATGCCTTTAATCCTAGCCATCAGGGGGAAGAGAGTTCCAGACCAGCCCTGGGTTACAGCAAGACCCTGTCTTATGAAACCAAGGGTTGGGTTGTCACTTGGTGGTAGAGCATTTGCCTAATGTGTGCGAGGCCTTGGCTTCCAGCCTGGGAAGAAAATAAGCGAGAGGGGCTTCTCCCTGTCCCCTGCTTCTCACTTCTTTCAGAATTTTCTTCTCTTGCCCAGTGCTGGTGGCTCACATCTGTCATCCTACCTCCTCAGGAGGCTGAGATCTGAGGTTCATGGTTCGAAGCCAGCCTGGGCAGGTAAGTCCATGAGTCTCATCTCCAATTACCTAGCAAGAAGTCAAAAGTGGAGCTGTGGCTCAAGCCTCTCGGGCAGAAAAGTCTAGTGAAAATGAAAAGCCCGAGGGCCGGGGTGGGGGGGTGGGGGTTGTGAGGGGGAGGAGAAGAGGACGGGTCATGAGCACCTAGCTTGCAGTCTGGATGTAACAAGACTGGCATTTGCAGTTCACAAATGGAATACAGACCTGGTGTGGCTGTTCACGGGCCGTTCTAATCTGAGGATGATGAGGCCAGCCAGCGCTGCGGGGTTGGCCTGGCCTAGCTGGCTTGTGGCCGGGGAGGGCCAGAGGGAGGGCCTGGGCTGCTCCTCTCCCACCTCCAGTTCCAGCTTGTGGAAGCGGCCCTTACACCATGGCCTGCACTGTCCTTGGTACGACCAGAGCCCTGGCCCTGGCCCCAAGGACGTGGCTGTGACCCTGGGTTTGGGGACAGTGGTCTGATGGGAGAGGCCATCCAGGCTGCTGCTGCCCCTTCAGGCCACCAGCTCTCCTCACATACGGACCCCCGGCCAAGGGGGGGGGGGGTTGAAGGAAATAAAAGGCACTGGGAATAGCTGTGGAGACATCCAGGAAGTAGCTGGGAAATCACTCCAAGGAGGCATACGGAGTGGTTCGTATCCTCCAGGCTGCCCAAAGCCTCCCTTTTCCAGGCTGAGTAACAGTCCATGTGCATTTCATAGCTGCTCCTCTGTGGACGGACGCGGGGTCTGCAGCCCCGTTTTAGCCGTTGTGAATCGTGTACACTCTTGTCTCTGTTTCTAATTCTTTGGGGTTATCCTCAGGAGTGTGTGTGTGTGTAAACTGGTCCTGGCTCGAATTCAGTAGTGCCTGGCCACTGCCCCTGAGCCATTTTGCTCAATGCCACTTGAAACACAGTTCCCCAACGTTTTGGTGCTTAACTGGAAATAAGAGTCTCATGGAATTTCCTTCCCAGGCTGGCTTCGAACCGTGATCCTCAGATCTTAGTCTCCCGAGTAGCTGGGCTTACAGGCGTGAGCCACTGGAGATGGATTAAATTTTATTTTTTAAAGACAGGGTCTCCATATGTGGCCAAGGCTGGCCTTAAACTTGAGATCCTCCTGCCTCAGCCTCCTGGGTGCTTGAATTACAGGCATGTGCCATCACAGCTGGCTTATTTGTAATTTGTTTTGGGGAACTAAATGGTATGTGAATTCACTTTCAGTAAAGGACACATGTTTTCATGAGATAGCTCCCTGAAATAGGCAATGTTATAGCCCCAAAGTACGGAAAGCTTTGCTTTTTCCTGACGTGGCTTGGGAAGCAGGGAGATGGATTCCTGAGTCCCGTTACCTGACTTGCCGTGGCAGAGCGGTCTCTCCGCTTGGAATTCTGGGAGGCGGCCCTGTGAGCCTGGCTGCTGTCTTCATCCGACATGTCCACATCAGCCAGGTACCGCGAGGGGAGCCGCCCCTTCTCTGAGGCACGAGTCCCTTAGAAGGAGGAGAGGCTTGAGAGACTGTGCACACAAACCTGAGATGCGTTCTCTTCTGAGGGGAGCTCGGAGGAGGTGAAGCCGTGTCTGGGCTGAGCAGATTCCCGCAGCCCCACTGCCAGCCACGAGGTGGGGCTTAGCACGTGCACAGGGCAAACCTGAAGTTAGAACTACGAGAAACCCCGAAGTCCCAGTGTGTGAGGACGGAGGGGCTGGAACGTTCCCACAAGGGGAGGTGATTTGGAAGTCTGTCCACTGCTGTGCTTACTCAGTGATTTGCCCTGCTCTGCCCTGCCCTCTCTCTCTCTCTCTCTCTCTCTCTCTCTCTCTCTCTCTTTCTCTCTCCTGGTCCTAGGGCTTGAACTCAATGCCTGGGCACTGTCCCTTAGCTTTCTCACTCAAGGCTGGCACTCTACCACTTAAGCCACAGCTCCATTTCTGGATTTTTGGTAGTTAATTGGAATAAGAATCACATGGACTTTCCTGCTCTGGCTGGCTTTGAAATGTGATCCTCAGATCTCAGCCTCCTGAGTAGCTAGGATTACAGGTGTGAGCCACTGGTGTCTGGCTCAGTTTTGTTTTTTTCACTTTAGACCCATGATTCATAACCTCCATGTTGGACTGTGCTTCTGCCTGGGTCCTAGGGGAAGTAAGTGCATGCCCCCCTCCCTCCTCTCCCCCCCCCATATCCTCATCCTCACCCAAATTACTGTCTGGGCTTCTACTTGGCCGGTATGGCACCACCCAGTGCCGCCTGCCAGGGAGCACCCAGATTCCCATGGGAATGGCCTGGGTTCCAGACCCAGTGAGAACTCGGCCCTGTGGGCCCCCCCCGGGGGCCCCGTGCAGAGAACACAGACTCCCCCCTCCCCCCACGACCCCAAGGAGACTACACTCAAGTCACTAAGCCTCACGATTCAGCAAGCAGCAGCCGTTAAGGCGCAGCCCGGGCAGGAAAGCCCCTGAGACTCTTCTACAATTAACTACTGAAAGGCTGGAAGTGGAGCTGTGGCTCAAGTGGTAAAACACCAGCCTTGAGCAGAAAAGCTCAGGGATAGCATGTAGGCCCTGAGTTCAAGCCCCAGGACTGGCATAAAATCAGAAGAAGACACTTCGGGCCAAACTCCTTGCTTGCTGCGGGGGCTGCAGACGCTCGCGGCCCCGAGGTGGTGACAGGCGTGCAGACAGCAGGGAGAGGCCGTGCTCCAATGCAGAGCTGCCTGACCCCAGTGTGCTGGCTGGGCACCGCCCCCACACGCGTGTGCTGGCTGGGCACCGCCCCTCACACGCGTGCTCGCTGGGCACCACCCCTTACACACACGTGTGCTCACTGTCCACCGCCCCTCACACGCATGTGCTGGCCAGGCACTGCCCCTCACACGCGTGTGCTCGCCGGGCACCGCCCCTCACACGTGTGTGCTCGCCGGGCACCGCCCCTCACACGCCTTGTTCTCTCTCTGCCTCTTCCTGGTGCCCTGCAGCCACGGAGGGGACACGAGGCCCTGCAGGCTGTCAGCACTTCTGCACTGGGGGGAGGGGGGGAGGGAGAACCCCTCCTTCTCAAAGCTCCCAGGGTCTGTGAGGACCATGAGGTCTTGGTCCTCAGGTCACAGGGTACGGGGCGTGGGGTCTCCTGCGCCCTGGCTGCCTGTGGTGCTCAGGAGGCGCCGCTGGGAAGGCCGCCCAGCACTGAGACCTGACCTGCCAGGCTGCCGTAGGCGCCCGCGCTTGCACAGGCTCCCTGACGCCGGGCAGAGGCAGAGAGCCAGAATTTCATTTTGAACGCAATCATTAGATGGAGCCAACTGTTGCTCCCATTTCTGGGCCCCTGGTCTGCGGCGGGTGCTTAGGCCTGTGCTGTCAATCACCACGAGCCGTCAACCAATCGCCGTGTGTGGTCAATCACCACGCGCAGCCTTGCCTGGCATCGCGTGACCAGGGATCTCAGCATGTCCCCCCCACCCGCAGCAGGGATGGGGGAGGGGTGCAGCAGGGATGGGGGAGGGGTGCAGCAGGGATGGGGGAGGGGTGTGCAGCTGCTTTGACTTCATTTCTGAGCGTCACAGCGCAGCTCGCTGTCCAGGCAGCCAGTGTGTCTCCAGCCAGCGGGTGTCGCCGTGGGCTGGGGGTGGGCGGGGGGTCCCCGCCCCTCCGAGGGCACCCACCGGGCATGGCAGCGGTCCCCTGGGCTGTCCTGTGGGCGTCTCCAGGTGGGCACGGCTCAGCAAGCGTCTCTGCCCGGGAAGGTTCCAGGCTGTCCAGAAGCTCCTGTGGCTGGGGGGGTCCGCCGGGGTCCCCCGAGTCCACCTCCTCCAGCACCTCTGCCTCCTGGGAGGCGGCGTCTCCCACGCAGGGCTCTCCTGACAGGGACTGGACAAGGGGTGGTCAGCTGGGAGCCTCGTGGGCACTGGGCTTCCTGCCCGAGCTCTCCGGGGCTCGGACTCCCCCAGAGACCATTGCTGTGAGGTCTCGGGCTGGGAGCTGTTTGGGGGTTATTTGTGCTGTTATTATAGTGACACTGGAAGGTCGGAGGGTGGGCTGACGGCGATTTTGGGGGTCTCAGCCCGTGCTGGGTGTGGGGACCCGGGGGGCTCCACTTGCGGCGGCCGCAGGGGCGCAGGGCCTATGTCCCACGTGTCCCCTGTTTCCTGGGCCTCTGTCTGCCTGGCGTGGCCTCAGGCTTTTGCCTGGCCTGCCTCCCCACCCCAAAGTCTTGGGGTGAGCCTTGGATGGGTGAGAAGGTTCCGGTCCTCTGTCCCCACTTCCTTCCCCAGGCCCTTGAGGCCACTGACCCGCAGGCTGCGTGGCACGGCAGAGGCCCAGGACAGGCCCGGGGCGTCGCCGCAGGGCTGGGTGGAGTGGTCCGAGTCCTCCTCGCAGTCCAGGTCGTGGAAGGACAGCAGGCGCCTTTGCTGTGCCGGTGTGAGATGAGGAGGACTGGAGTCTGAGCGGGAGACCGGCCTCCCCACTGGCCCTCCTCCACCAGCCTCCCCCTCCCCGCTGACCTCCTCCCTCCACCAGCCTCCCCCGCCAGCCTCCCTGTCCCCACCCAGCCTCGTCCACAAGACTCCCCCTCCCCACCTTGGCCTCCTCCACCAGCCTCCCCCTCCCCACCTCAGACTCCTCCACCAGCCTCCCTGTCTCTACCCAGCCTCCTCCCTCCACCAGCCCCCACTCCCCACCTAGGCCTCCTCCACCAGCCTCCACCTCCCCACCTTGACCTCCTCTACTTCTCCCCCTCCCCACCTCGGCCTCCTCCATCAGCCTCCCCGTCCTCCCTTGGCCTCCTCCAACAGCCTCCACCGCTACACTAAAACCAAGCCAGGGTGAGCCCTCGGGGGTGAGGGGTCCACCTGCCCCAAGAGACTGCTGCCCCCTAAGTCACAGCTGAGCTTGGAGGGGTGTGGCTGGCAGCCATGGGCGCTGCCTGGGCAGCGGGTGCTGTGGGGCCGCGAGGCGCTGGCTTTGGGGTGCACGGGCAGGGTCCCCCGCTGCTGTTCTTCGACTAGAGCAGGGTCACTCTGAAATCCCTCCCTCCCTACGGCTAAGCTCGCTCCTCCCTCCCTGCGGCTAAGCTCGCCCCTCACACCGATTGCCGTGAGGAATTGCAGACAGGTGCATTCTGGGAGCTGAGCAAAGGACTCCATTCAAATCACATGCAAATGACGCCCGTGGTTCCCGTCCCAGTCACTCAGAGAATCCGCGCTGCCTGCCCTCCAGCTGGCAGGCGGCGTGACCCTGCCCCGCACCAGGGGCCACCCAGCGGTCTCCACCCCCCCAAAGAAATCGAAACAGATGGCGGTAAAGAACAACAAAGGCTGTGGCTGGCGGTCAAGGTTCACAGCTTCCTGCGGCTGTCCTGTGAGCGCCGCCTGCACAGCGGGGCGCAGGCTGCCCGGACACCGTGTCCACGGGCCGTGCCTCCCAGCGCTGCCCGGACACCGTGTCCACGGGCCATGCCTCCCAGCGCTGCCCGGACACCGTGTTCACGGGCCGTGCCTCCCACTGCTGCCCGGACACCGTGTCCACGGGCCATGCTTCCACCACTGCAGTGGACACCGTGTCCACAGGCCGTGCCTCCCAGCGCTGCCCGGACACCGTGTCCACGGGCCATGCCTCCCAGCGCAGCCCACCCACGGCCTGTTCCCAGCTTCCGAGGGACACCTCCGCTCCCATTCTCTTGGCCTGGGGGCGGGGGGGGGGGCTGTCTGCGCTGGGCTGGGGGAAGCAGCGGCCATGGAGGCTGGCCCTGGGGGTGGCAGTGGAGACCTGGTAGGGTCTGGAGGAGGCGAGGCTGCCTGGGAGGGGCTGGTGCCTGGGCAGGACTTACTCTGCTGCCAAGAGCTGGGGCCTGGGCCTCCATGTCCAGTTGTCCCTCCTCGTCTGTCTGTTCGCTGTCTCCACTTCCCTCTCCAGGACATGGCTCAGGCTCGCCTGAAACAGACAGCTTTATGTCTCCACCCAGGAAAGCCAGAGCCAAAGGAAGCCATCCATCTGACCATCTGTTCACCCGCCACCTCCCCATCCCTCCCTCCTGCCCGCTCTCCTTCCCTCCCTCCTTCCTTCCTTCTACTCACCCACTTGCCCATCTATCCATCCACCCATCTAACCACTCACCTGCCCACCTGCCTCCTGCCTGCCCTTCTCTCCTGCTGCCCCCCATGCCCACTTCTTCCTTATTCATATCCAGCCAGCCAGCCCAGCTCCCACCAACTTCATCCACTGCAGAGAAGGGCCACGGCTGGCCCCCACGGCCGATCCGAACATCACTTAGAGAATCTGTCCCCAGAATCCACCCTGAGGTGGGAATTCTGCCTGCGTCCAGGGAGGGCAGGAAGGGGCAGAGGCGGGCCTGTTGGGGTGACAGGGCAGTGGGGCGCCTCAAGTTCTCTGGGATCCTTCCAGCTATGGCTGTGATGTCTCTGCTTGGGACAAGGCTTTGAGCCATGCTGATCACCTGTCTGGTCCATCCGTGCTAAACAAAACAAGAGCCACTTTCATGGTCCACGCTCCTGACTTAGAATGGGGGCTCCTGACCTCACTCGGGACGGGGGTAAAACAAGAAAGAGCCATTGGAACACAAAGACCATCATTGTTGGCTGGCTCTGCCCTTTGTAGGGCAAACTAACGGTGTCTACAGGTACTGCAGGAAGGCCCTCAGGGTCCCTACCCAGAGGCCTTGGAGGCAGAGCCTGCGTGCCTGGATGGAAGGCCAGGGAAGACCAACCCATCACCAGCTGAAACAGGTCTGCACTGGACCTTGTCAGGTTTTGCAAGATTCACTTTAGATACCCCCCCCCCCCCCCCCCCCCGCTTCCTAGCAGCACTATTTCCTTGTTCTGTATTCAGGAGGTTCCAGCAGGAGTCAGAGCCCAGAGCGTGGGGTCACCGCGACTTGGAAGCTCCACATCTGCTCTGGGTGTTCCTAGACACAGAAGCCCGGCAGGTGCTACGCAGGTGCTCAGCCCCGGGCAGTCTGGGCTGCTCAGCCCGCGTGCGGGGGCCAGGCCCAGTGCAGCAGCATGGATCCAGTCAGGGACGAGGCTGCTCCAGTATGGGACTGGAACTCAGGGCTGGTCTGGGTCGGTCCCTTAGCTTTTTTTTTTTTTTTTTTTTTGTCGGTTGTGGGGCTTGAACTCTGGCCCTGGCTCAGCTCTTCAGCTCCAAGGTGAGCGCCCTACCACTTGAGCCACAGTGCCACTTCTGGTTTTCTGGTGGTTCATTGGAGATAAGAGTCTCATGGACGTTCCTGCCTGGGCCAGCTTTGAACCATGATCCTCAGATCTCAGCCTCCTGAGTAGCTAGGATGACAGGTGTGAGCCAGCAGTGCCTGGCTCCTCGGTTATTTTCTATGTAAAGTCTTATTTTATGCCTGGCCCACCTGACCTGTGATTTTTGAGCTTGCTATCATGTCCAGCCATTGGTTGAAATGGAGAGCATAGAACTTTATGCCTGGGCTGGCCTTGAACCAAGAACGCCAATCTCTACATCTACAGTGGTGAAGATTACAGGCTTGAGCCACCATGTGCAGCTTAGCTCTCTTTCTTCTTCCTCTTCCTTCCCGCCTCCTCCTCCTCCTCCTCCTCCTCTTCCTCCTTCTCTTCTTCCTCCTCCTCCTCTTCCTCCTCCTCCTTCTCCCCCTCCTCTTCCTCCTCCTCCTCCTCCTCCTCCTCCTCCTCTTCCTCCTCCTTCTTCTCCCCCTCCCTCTCTCTCCTATCAGTATACTAGGACTGAGAGCTTTGAACTCAGAGCCCTGACTGCTTGCTCTACCTACTTGCTCATGGCTCTGCTCAGCTGTTTTGGCCATGCCTCTAGCCCAGCTATTTGCCAGTTAAATTGGAGAACAGAGGCTGGTGGACTTTCTCGCCTGGGCTGGTTTTCAACCTTGATTCACCAATCTTAGCTTTCTAAGTAGCTAGAATTAAAGAGTGAGCCACCAGTGCCTGGTTCTTCACCAGAAGCATCCAGGCCTCTAAACTATTGGTGTAGGGGAAGCCATGTATAGAGATTCCATTAGCAGCTGTGATAGGGAAAGCCAGCTGTGAGTCCTCACCTTGATGTGAAGTTCTGGAAGAAACACAACTTCAAATAGTAGGGATGCCAGCACCCAGTGGGAACTCTCAGGGGGTCAGAGAAAACCCGTGGGCCAGAGATAACAGGTCTCAGACAGGACACAGGAAGCAAGAACAGACAGGCTGGAGAGAGCCAGTGGCTCCCACCTGTCATCCCAGCTACTCCGAAGGCTGAGATCTGAGGATCACAGTTCAAAGCCAGCCTGGGTAAGAAAGTCCCTGAGACTCTAATTAACCAGCAAAAAGCCAGAAGTGGAGTTGTGGATCAAGTGGTAGAGCATCGGCCTTAAGCAAAAAAGCTAAGCGAGTGCAAGGCTCTGAGTTCAAGCCCCAGTACACACACACACTCACACATACATTCACACTCAGACGCACACATACACCACACACAGGAAAGAAAAAAGAATGGATAGGTCAGTCCTCCCCCCCTCCCTCCTCCCTGCCTCCCTGTGTTAGCACACAGGAGTACCCCCACCCCCACCCCAGTCGCCCCTGCTCACCTGGCCCCTGCCGCCGCCCGCAGAGGGACCGGATCACTTTGGCGCTGCCGAAGCGTTTGAAGCGGGCTCTCACGTGCTCGTAGTACCATCCCAGAGAGCCCATCTGCACCACCCTGCGTGGAGAGGAGCCGGGCCGGGGGTGCCCAGGTGTGCCCCACGCTCCCCTGCCCGCCTCCTCCCCTGAGCCAGCCCCGCCCCAGTGAAGCCAGCGGGGTGGGCAGCCACGGGGCCGGCCCGGCTCACCTTGTCAGGCGGCAGGGGCTGCAAAGCCAGCCCTGCGCCTCGGCCTGGGCCTGCCCGCAGCTCCCGCAGGTGAAGAGGCCGCAGGCCTGGCACTGCCTCCGGCCGCTGGCGAGGAGCTGGAAGGGCTGCAGGCAGAGGGCACAGAGGCTCTCGTTCAGATGCGCCGTGTCGGGCAGCAGCTCCCTCCTGGAGGCTTGCTTCCTGATCTTGTCCTTCAACTCCCTGCGGAAAACAGGAAAATAAACACAGAGCCGGGCGCCAGTGGCTCCCGCCAGTCACCCTAGCACCTCAGGTGGCTGAGATCTGTGCATCCAGTTCAAAGGCAGCCCAGGGCAAGAAAGTGTAGGAGACTCTTATCTCAAATTAACCACCCAAATGCCAGAAGTGGAGCTGTGGCCCAAGTGGTAGAGCACTAGCCTTGAGCACAAAAACTGAGGGACAGAACCTAGACCTAGGGTTCAAGCCCCAGGACCCCACCCCTCCTGCCACACACACACACACACACACACACACACACACACACACACAATGCAGATGTATTGTGCATCAGGCTTTGAATGTGTGCATATATGAAATCAGACACACATGCATACACGCACATATGTGTGTGTGTGCGCGCGCACACACACACACACACACACACACACACACACGTCCTCTCTCCTCTGCAGGAATCTGTGACTCAGAGTTGGGCAGAAGCCCTCACAGCCACCCTGACCCACAGTGCCAACTCCATGCCACTCTCCCTCTCGGGGTGGGACCAATTCATCTCAACCCCAGTCCTGTGCTTCTCGGTGGACCAGTGTTGAAGGCTGGACTTGTAGGAATGAGCGGCAGTGCACTGGCCTTTCTCTGGCCTTTACAGTTGGGCCTGCGCGGGGTGGCAGGGCCCTGGGGCTGTCATAGGGTCACAGAGTCCCCAGGGCATCACCAGGTGACAGGCCCCGGGCTGTTCCTGCGGAGCAGGGTAGGGGCGGAATGCTTGCTTTGGCTCGATTCCAGAGCAGTTACCCAGCACTTAGAAGTCCCAGGCAAACCAGCATTATTCTAGAATAACCGGTCTTGGACCACACATACACAGCATCCTGGTGAGCACCACACTGAACGGCTGGAAAATGTACCCCCGATAAAAATGAGTGCGTTCCTTGCAGTGGGTCTCGGAGGGCGTCATCCACACAGAGTGTTTTTATTTTTGGAGGAGATATAGCATTAATCCAATCTCAGCGACCGAAGCAGGTGAGCGTGGTGGCGGTGTCTCCTGAGAGACCTTGACCCTCCTGCCTAAGGCAGGTCTCAAACCAAGATCCTCCTGACCTCTCTGCTGAGCAGCTGGGATTCCAGGTAAGCGCGGAAGCGCTTGGACTCCTCCACTCCTCCACCTAGCCAACTGAAGTGGGAACTCTGGGAAAAGATGGCGTCCGAGGCAGCAAGTGGCTGATGGGGAGATCACAAGGCCCCAACCTATGCTTTAGTTTCTTTGCTCAAAGGGTGGGGATGGAATGGTGGGGGAGGGCGCAGGGTGAAGCGTCAGTTGCATGTCCAAAATACACCAACTACATTCCTTTGCTTGGACAAGAAGAATGGGTGACGCTGATCACGAAGACACGTGAATACACTCTCCCTCCCCCGCAGAGACACGTGAATACACACTCCCTCCCTCCCCCACAAAGAACAGGAAAGGAGCTGGGCTGTCATGCTAAAGGGGGCGCCAGGCTGTGGGTGACCAGTGGAGGAGGGTGCATTCCAGAAGCAGGCCAGCGCGGCCTCGCCAAGGCCAGGCTGGGCCTCCGGCACCCTTGCCTCGGGGCTCTGGGGGTTCCCGGCTGGAACAGGACCTGGGGAGACTCCGTGCTCCTTTTCCACCCGTGCCAGGGCCCGCTGCGCCGTGGTCCCCAGGTCCCCAGGGACTGCCCTGGTCCTCCCTTCCCTCTTCGCTGTTCTTGTGAGGCCCTGGTGGGCACGGGGGGCCCCCAAAACCCCCTCACCCCAGCTCACATGCCCGGCCACCCTCGTTCCGGTGCAAACTGCTTCTGCTCTGCCACAAAGCAGCTTTGAGGCCTGGGGACACAGAGGCCTGGGGACACGGAGGCCGGGGACATGGACCTGCCTTGGTGGCAGGGACACTGCTCTGCTTGACCCGAGCAGCAGGTCCCCAGATTCCAGAGGCTGCACTGAGATTTCACCCCTAGCCAGGAGCCAGGCGTCTCAGACACAAAGTGTGGACTCTGTGTCCCCCAACCCACTCGTCCTCCCCCACTTAGGAAACGGAGCGAAGGCTCCTCGGGGGGGTGGTGGGATGAATGAACACCTTGGGCGATGGGATGGGAACCGGGGCTGATGGGAGCTCCGGGGAGGGGTGGCCTGTGGGTGGGGGGAGACGGTGGGCAGGGCAGGATGTGGGTGGCCGTGTGTGTGTGTGTGTGTGTGTGTGTGTGTGTGTGTGTGAGTGTGTGGACAGGCCACAGCCACAGCCGCAGCCGCAGCTCAGAGGCGCTGCAGCGAGCTCCAGCCCTGATGGCATCTGCACACCCCAGGCAGCTGACTTCCCGTCCCAGCCCAGCCCAGCCCAGCACTCCTGCCTGCGGGGCTGGGGGCCAGATCAGCAGACCAGGCAGAGCTCCTCTCCCCCTCCCCCTCCCTCCTCCCATCCTTCCTCTCTCTCTCTCCCTCCCTCCCTCCCTCCTTCTCTCTCTCTTTCTCCTTTCCCTCCCTCCCTTCCTTCTTTACCTCCTTCCCTTCCTTCCTTCCTTCCTTCTTCTTTTCCCTACCTTCCTTCTTTTTCTTTCCTTTTTTCTCCTTTCCCTCCTCCCTCCCTCCTTCTTTCCCTCCCTCCCTTTCTCTTTCCCTTCCCCTTCCTTCCTTCCCTCCCTCCTTCCTTCCTTCCTTTCCTCCTCCTTCCTTCCTTCCTTCCTTCTTTCCTCTGTTACTGACTTTTTTTTTGGGTCAGTTTGTGGGGCCTGATCTCTGGGCCTGGGTGCTGTCCTGCAGCTCTTCAATTCAAGGTTAGTGCTCTACCACTTGAACCATAGCACCACCTTTGGCTTTTTCTGCTTATGTGGTGCTGAGGAATCAAACCCAGTGCATACAAGACAAACACTCTACCACTGAGCCACCTTCCGAGCCCTTCCTTCCTTCTTCTTTCTTAACCCCTCTTTCTTTCCTTCTTTCTTCCCTTCCCTTCCCTTCCCTTTCCTTTCCTTCCTTCCTTTCCTTCCCTCTCTCCTTTGCTTCTTCCTTCCTTCCTTTCTATCTTCCCTTCTCCTTCCTTCCTTCCTTCCTTCCTTCCTTCCTTTCTCTCTCCTTTCCCTCCTCCCTTCTTCCTTCTTTCCCTCCCTCCTACCCTCCCTCCCACCCTTCCTTCCTTTCTTCCTTCCTTCCTCTCTATCTTCCCTTCTCCTTCCTCTTTCCTTCCTCTCTCCTTTCCCTCCTCCCTCCTTCTTTCCCTCCCTCCCACCCTCCCTCCCACCTTTCCTTCCTTCCTCTTTCTTACCCTTTCTTTCTTTCTTTCTCTTTCTTTTTCTTTCTTTCCCTCCCTCTCCCCCCGCCCCCATGTGGGTGTGCCTGGCTACAGACTGCTTATTTTTAATCCAGCCGTTTGCCTAGGGCTCACCTGAGAGCACTTTCAGATTCCCAGGAATGACTGTGTGTTTGTGGGGGGCAAATCCGCGTCACACCTGTTTGTCTTTTGGGGAAGCTCCGCAGGCCTAATATTTGCTTTGTGGGCTGAGGCCTCGCAAGACGGGCTGTTCTGCTCAGGGTCGGGAGCCCAGGGCTGAGTCACTGAGGCTGGGAGCTGCCAGCAGCCTCCATAGGCAGGAACTTTAAATGACAGCACAGACTCCAGCTCCCTGTGGTGCGGGCTGGGGCATCCTCTGGGCTTGGGTCCAGGAAGGGGGAGCCCCAGGAATTCTAGGTGCTTCCAGGAAAGGGAGAGGCGTTCCCACCAAGGTTCATTTATATAAAAAAATAACAGCTGGGCCCCGGTAGCTCATGCCTGCCTGTCATCCTAGCTACTCAGGGGGCTGAGGTCTGAGGATCACGGTTCAAAGCCAGCCTGGACAGGAAAGTCCATGAGACTCTTATCTCCAATAAACCATTCAGAAAACCGGAAGTGGTGCTGTGGCTCCAGTGGTAGAGCGCTCGCTTTGAGCTGAAGAGCTGAGGGACAGCGCCCAGGCCCAGAGTTCAAGCCCATGACTGAAAAAACAACAAAACATCAAAACAACAACAACAACAAGCAGCATGGGATGGCCTTTCCTGTACTTAAAACACTTTTCAGATCCCAAGCCACACAGTGGGACATGGAGCAGCTGGAAGGGGAGAGGCTTCCGAGCTCCAGCTCAGCCCGTGGGGCGCGGCAGGGGACGGAGGAGCGCCACGAAAATATCACAGGGACACAACAATCTACAAACCAAACAACCAGCGCTGTGCTATAAACAAGCTTTCAAAGAGAGAGAGGGATGTGAGGAAGGAGTTTACGGTTCAAAAAAAAACTTAATAGACACGCCAGCCTGAGCCAGGCACGGAGGGCAGTCCTTAATCCTGGGGAGGAGAAACCTGAAATCCAGCCGTCTGGGCGGCCTAGCCCGGGCTCAGAGAGGAGAAGGAAACAGTAACTAAGCAAAAGGTCTAGACCTTGGCTGGGGATGTGTGGGGAAATTTGAACACAGATCAAACATTTGATGTAAGGAATTACTGTTAATTACCTTGGATGTAATAAAGCATTTTGCAGGCTGGGCACCAGTAGTCAACCCTGTAATCCCAGCCACTCGGGGGCTGAGAATGGGAGGATCACAGTTTGAGGCTAGCTCTGGCAGGACGTTACACTACTTCTTTTCAACCTGCTGCGGGCATGGCCTGTGCCTGTTGTCTTGAGCCCCACGGAGGCTGAGATTGGGGTGATCATTCCAGGACAGCCTGGGCAGAAAGGTCCGAGGGACTCCACCGCGTGGACAGAGGCTGGACATGGTGGCTCTGGCCTGTCACCCGGAAGCCATGGGAAGCCTCAGAGAGGCAGATCACAGGCCAGGGCAGAACGCCGGACCCTAGATTCGAGACAGCCTGTGGGAAGTGCGGCTCCGCTGTAGAGTGTCTGCCTAACAAAGGGCAGGCGCTGAGTCCAAGCCAGGTACTGCCCAGTCGGAAGTCTCATGGGTAAGAGAGATGCAGGTGTGGTGACCTCCGCTCACACCCCGGGGCGTCCTCCGTGAACAGGGGTGTAACAGCCTCATGTCACAGGGTTGAGTAGTCGTGGGTGGCGTGAACTCCGGTGGTACAGCCCGGACCTGTGCCAGGGGCCAGTGACACGTGGTCCCCAGGGCTCCAATGTCCTGAGGGGACGGAGGCTGAACGAGGAACTGGCATGATGTCCCCTAGACACTGCGGGGCCGGGGGAGACAGGAGAGAGCCATGTCCCAGCAGGGATGGGGTCTCTTTGGGGTGGGGTTCGGGAGGGCCCGCGGAGGATGTGCAGTCAGGGATTCTGAGCGGGGGTGTGACACGACCTGGTTCTTTTTTTTTTTTTTGTCTGTCATGGGGCTTGAACTCTGGGCCTGGGCGCTGTCCCTCAGCTCTTCAGCTCAAGGGTGGTGCTCTGCCACTTGAGCCACAGCGCCACTTCCAGTTTTTGGGCGGCTCATTGGAGGTAAGACTCTCATGAACTTTCCTGCCTGGGCTGGCTTTGAACCATGATCCTCAGATCTCAGCCTCTTGAGTAGCTGGGATGACAGGCGTGAGCCACTGGCGTCCGACTGGTTCTGATTTTGATCAGGTAATGCTGGGTTAGGGAGGGTGTGGGAATGGGGGGGGGAGGAGTGGGGATGGCCAGCACGGGGCGTCCTCTGCATCACTGAGGGACGAGCGGGCCTGACCTGGGCTGGCACTGAGGGGCGGCGGGCAGCAGCTGTGCTGGGCACTTGCAGGTACGCTGACTCAGTGTGGGAGGAGAAAGCTGGGAGGACAGCCGGAACCCTGTGTGCGTGACCTCAGCAACCAGGACGATGCTCGCAAGGGTGTGGACGAGGCGCCTGATGGAGGGTCAGGCATGCGCCCGCGGCCCGAGTCGGCCGATCAGAGGTGAGGCCCGCTCCTGGACGCAGGCTGTCCCATCGCCTTGGAGCCAGGGACCATGAGGCACCATCGCTACTGAGGCCAAGAGAAATCCATCCGCACACAAAGGGCCCCCGGGGCCCGGGGCCCCCGTGGGAGGTGCGGGCCGCGGAGCGGCCAGTGCTGCTCACACTCCTGGGGGACGCTGGCCCCTGAGGTAGAGGGTGGCAAGGACAAGGGCCTGGGGGCCAACCTCAGCACTTCCAACAAAACAAAACAAAACCAAACCCAGCAACGCGCAACATGCACAGCGCCTAGCGAAGCCCAAATTCCTGGAGGCGATGATGTCACTGGGCACGGGATGACCGCTCCCGGGGCGAAGACAGAAGCTGGTCTGGGGCACAGGGCGCAGGACCCGCCCCGAGCAAATACGTTCGAAGGTGAGGAAGGTCATTCAGAGGAGACGGAGAAGGGTGGACTCAAATCGAGCAATGAGTGCTGAGTTAGGCCTGTGAACGCGATGAGATGCCGCTGGTCATCTTTTTTTTTTTTTTTTAAGAGCAAAGTGAAACAAAATGAAAGGAACCCTCCTTCTTTTTCACTCAATAGTGCCTCCAGAGCTGCTCAAGTCCACGTCTTCCCAATGGCACCGTTCCTGGCGGCGCTGCACTAAGTAACCCGTTGTTGTCTAACGCTACACTTGCTTTCATCAAGCCCGCTCTTTCCGGCGAGGCCTCCGTCCTCACCATGCGTGGAGTACCAGACACATCCAGCCGGCAGACTTGGCTTTTGGTGGCTGTCCTGGCACGTGACTGTCCGCACAGCCTCAGGGCTCACCCACAGCGAGACTCAACACGGGACGGGGCAGAGGTGGGAAGAAGCTAGTTCTGTCCTGAATCGCTTTCCAAAGCCAACCCCCTTAGCATCCAAACCAAGCACGTCTTTTTCCTGAGGCCCGGTGTCCTGAGCGGTCAGGCTGGGCCTGTCCCGTCCTGGGAGAGCTTGCTCCCCGATCCTCAGTGCAGGCTCGGGTCGCTCCAGGGCTGGGGCAAGGTACTGTGCTCCCCTCTCCCCTTCCTGAGAGCCCCTCACCGCTCCTTGCCAGGCTGGACCAGGCTGCACACCAAGGGTCACGTCTTTTGGGGGGTGTGTGTGTGTGTGTGTGTGTGTGTGTGTGTGTGCTGGTACTGAGACTTAAACTCAGGGCCTTGAGCTCTTATTTGGCCTTTGGCTCAAGGCTGGTGCTCTGCCACTTAAGCCATTCCTCCACTTCTGGCTTTTTGCTCCTCCATGGGAGATGAGAGTATCTCAAATCCGTCTGTCTATGTTGGCTTTGAACCTCAATCTCTGATCCTCAAATCTCAGCCTCCTGAGTAGCTGGGGTTACAAGTGTGAGCCGCAGGCTCCCTGCAGAATCCGGAGTCTTTGTATCATCATTCAATTCTACCCCTTTAGAGCATCGGTTTTGTCTGCTATGGGAAATATGCAAGCAATGTTTTCTGACCTAGGAACTCGTATGTCTGTCTGCCCATCTGTCTCATGACTTCATTTTTGTTCCTGGAGTCAGGCCAGACTTGCAAACAGGCTTTTCTTGGGTGGAGGCAGCTGAACCTACAGTGGCAGGTGTAACAGGACAGTGGACAAGACCCAGAGTAACAGACGCAAGAAAAACCAGGAACCGCTTTTTGTTTCGGGGACTCTCCACCTCCCGCAGTGCAGCCAGCTGGAACTGTGTTCACCCACCTGCAGGCGGCTGTGGCTTCGCACCTGACCAGACAGGCCTCTAGTGCAGTCCTTTATGACACAAACGTAGGAGCACAACCTCTTCCCACCTGAGGGTCCTTGAGGCCTTTCGTGAGCCCCTCTCTAATCCCTCAGCCTCCAGCAGACACCACAGAGCGGCCTGCTACAGGGCCCCCTGCTGGCTCCTGGCGGAGACCCGGACAGGCTAGCCCACCAGGAGGGTGGTGTCTCTCCTCTGCCATTGAAAGGAAAAAAGGAAAGACAGGAAATGGATGGAAACCGGGTTCCCAAGACACAAGTTTCTCTTGGGTGACTCAGATGGCAAATCTCTTTGTAACAGAAAGACAGATCGTAAGATGCATGGCTGATGGGCTCAGACGTGAGGAAGAGGCCACAAGCCAAGGAATTCAGACAACTGGGAAAGACCAGGAAGTAGATGCTCCCTGGGGCTGGCAGGCTGAGCCGGCCCTGGGGCTGGCAGGCTGAGCCGGCCCTGGAGCTGGCAGGCTGAGCTGGCCCTGGAGCTGGCAGGCTGAGCTGGCCCTGGGGCCGTCCTGACTTTAGCTCCGCAGACAGCCAGAGTTGTGAGGGAGAGACTTGTGTTTCTTAGGTTATAAATTTGTAGTTTACCTTATGGAGAGAGCGCAGAACACCAAGACCCCCAGTGTTGTGTTCTGTGCCCCAGAGAATGTTCCAGACCCACTGTTTGCGTACCCCTGCTGTTAGTGTGGGCCCGCTGCTTGTGTACAGTCACGGCTCATGCTCACTTGCTGTTCACGTACATCCACTGTTTGGGTGCACCTGTTTGTGAACAGCTGCTGTTCATGTCTGCTCATGTACACCCGTTGTTAGTGTGGGCCCGCTGCTTGTGTTCAGCCACGGCTCACGTGCAGCCACTGTGCGTGGACACTGAGGCCATCACGTCTGAAACCACTCCTGCTCCTGCTCCAGGAGAACTGACCTCAACACTCTCCGCTCAGTGACTCAAGCCGTGACCTTGGAGTCACCTTTAACGTCTCCCTTTCTGGAGACCCCCACATCCAATCCCTGGGCAAAGCAAACATGCCGGTGCCGCCTTCTGCGCCCACCGACCATATCTCTGTAGCTCACTGACAGCGGGGACTGAGAGGAGGGCACTTGGCCTCCATCCCCCACCCCTCAGGTCTCAGATCTCCTCTCCGCCTCTTGCTCGCTCTGCTCCTGTTATGCCAGGTGCCCCGCTGTACACGAGGCTGGGGTCGCCCTGGGGGAGGGAGCCCCTCCTGCTGTCCCAGTGGCAGGACGGGACAGGTGGCTCTTTTTAATCCTCAGGGTGGAGCTGCTCCCTAGACCGTGGTTTCCTGTTCACGCCTTTCCCCACCTCTGCCCCACCCCCACCCCCCTGGCCCCCCAGGATCGGACACGGCCACTCAGCCCTACGAGGACCGGAGCTCCATGGCTCAGGCCCACACTCACTCCAGCCTTTCTTCTTCTCTTCTTCTGAGGTCAAAGTCCCGCTGAACCACCGCCCAGACGTGCGCTGCCTCCTCATCCGTGAGCTTGGAAAGGTCCAGTTTCTTCCCCATCGCCGCTTCTCTTCTGGTTCTTACCTAGAAAACCACAAGGTCACAGCAGGTCTGCCCAAGAAGCCTGTGGATGCTGGCCAGGCTACACAAAGAGGCAGCGCTGAGGCTGCCAGTCCCTTAGCGCCTCCGTGCACTGGGCAGAATTCCCTCCCGTCTTCCCTCCCTCCTTCTTCCTTCCCTCCCTTCCCCTCCCTCCCACCTACCATTCCTTCCTTCCTCACTCCCACCCCCCCCCACCTTCTTTTTGTTTTGTGCCAGTACTGGGGCTTGAACTCAGGGCCTGGGTCCCATGCCTTCAGCTTTGTCACTCAAGGCTAGGGGTCTATCAATTGAACCACAGCTCTACTTCTAGCTTTTTTCTGGATAATTGGAGACGAGTCTCACAAATCTTCCTGCCAGGGCTGGCTTTGAACTATAATCCTCAGATCACAACTTTCTGAGTAGCTAGGATTACAGGTGTGAGCCACTGGTGCCTGACTCTGTTTTCTGAACAGGCCAAGGGTTGACTGGAAGTTGGCATCATTTAGTAAGTCTTGTGCACTTTTAGCTCATTTAAATGAGCCCATGGGTAAACTATTCACACTAGATTTCACAGGGGAAGCATCTCAAACTTCCTACCCTGGGTAACATGCATGCACACACACATGTGCATACACATGCACACACAAGCATGCACACACATCCACAGTCACTTTCATTCTGTTTCCTTTAAGAGACCAATGACAAAGATCCCTTTCCCACTCCTTCCTTGAGTTCAAATCCCAGTGTTGCTGAAAAACTGTACCAACCGACCAAAGTAAAAACTCACCCCCAAACCAAACCAACCAAACCACACCATTCCCGTCTGCTCCGAAAGGCCAGCCTTGCGGGGCTCAGAGTTCCAAGGCCCTGTGTGAACTTAAATCTTGCAGACCTAACCTTTCTCAAATACAGCCGAGCCTGCTCGGTGTGTGTGTGTGTGGGGGGGGGGGGGGAGGCCTGGCATCATCTTTGAGCACTGAGGCACTCCGGCCTCAGAGCCACTGAGCAATCAATCGGACGCACTTGGCAAACCTGAAGAGCCACATTTGTTAGAAACAATTGAGGGGGTTTCCCAGTCCAGACGGACACCCTGCAAAATGAACATCTCCCCAGAGCCCGCAGCTGGCCACGGAACATTCCCCACACACGTCTCGTGTTAACATGGGGGAAAAACAACTTCTCAAAACTGTCTGCCCCAACCTGCCCACGCCCAAGCCCAAGGGTGAATGTGGCTTTGGCAGTCACCCCTACTTCCAGAGGGCAAGAAGCACCCCGAGGGAAAACGCACCCCCTAGGACATGTGACGTCTGGTTTCTAGAAAACAAGCAGTTCTCCTCTGAGGATGACTGGGGCTCATTCATTTTTGTTTTCCATTCCTCTGGGAAGCAGAAGGATCACGAGGGCGCAGTGATGGGCGTCGGTGTGCAGGAGAGGCTTGGGACCCGCAGCCAGGCTCTCGTGACTCCGCTGGCGTGGAAGCCGAAGCCTCCCAGTGTGAGGCGGCGGAGTGCAGGGCTGGGACAGGGAGAGGCCACGGAGAGGGGCGCAGCACCCCCACCTGGCTGGGAAACCCCATCCTGGAGGTCCCGGGGGTCTCAAGTTCAAGGATGGTCTTACGCACCAAGAAATGATGCGGGGAAAGGCGTTCTTGGGTTGGAGAACACACCGCATCCCCACAGCTAAGCCAAGAACGTTACACCCCCCCCCCCCCCCGCCCCGTGGGTGAGGGCAGAGCTGCGCTGTCCGCTCGCTCTGTCTGGTCCTCCACAGACAGCTCCGGGTCACCGTGCGCCTGAGCCCCAGCCCACGCCCAGCGGGCGCCTGGTCGGGCTCACCCTGGACGCAGGTTCAGAGCTCTGAGGCGGACTTTTCTCTCTCTGTCTGATGGTCTTTAGCGAGAGCAGGGAGGAGCCTGAGGCTGGGCGGGAGGACGCTGGCCTCCCGGAGAGGCAGCCCAGACCCAGACCCCAGAAGGTCAGGGGGGCATCGGCCTCACCTTTTCCGCATTTGAATTGATAGTTTGGCCAAGCTGAAGGGAAAGCGGGTGAGGCTCGTTCCCATCTCCCCCAACCCCGGCTCCTCAGGACAGCAGCCCGTGTGGGATCCCCACCTACCGAGCAAGCGGAAAGGGGGGAGTGCAGGCCAGACACCTGCCGGCGGCCGCGGGACGCCCTCTGACTCAGGGCAGGCGTGTGCCGGGCGGTGTTCTGCTGACGGGTGGGGCAGTGGTGCCACCGTGCCCTGGGTGGTGCCCTCCCCCCTTCCCCCCGGAGCTGGCGCGGTGGCATGGCTGCTCTGTGCACACAGCTGGAGCCTTGACTGCCATCAACAGCAGATGAGCGTCTGTCCAGCCAGGGGCGCCGTCCCTGCCCACAGCAGGGCGCAGGGAGCTGTGCCACTGCAGCCATCCTCGGCCACTGCCCGTGCCACAGGCTCCGGCTGGCACCTAACGCCTCCGCTCCAGCTTGCGGCTGCACAGGGGGGAGAGCTGGGCTCGCGCTCAGTCGGCCGCAGCCAGCCCAGCACCTGGGACAGGGGCCTCCTCCTCTCAGTGTCTCAGTTTCCCCATCTGTCCTGCAGACAGGGGTTGGGCTCCATGAGCTCTCCGGTAACCCAGCGCAATGCTGGATGACGGAAGGAAGAGGAGTGCGTGGTGGAAGGGGTGGTGGGTCTCACTGGGAAGTGTGTGTGTGTGCATGGGTGTGTATACGAGTGTTCCTGGGGTTTGAACTCAGGAACTCATGCATCAAGGTATGCCCTCTGCCACTTGAGCTGTATCCTAGTGCTTTTGACATAGCTATTTTTTCAGGTAGGGTCTCTTGCTTTACCCCTGAGGCCAGCCTCGGACCCTTGTCCTGCTTACCACCTGCCACAGGGTTGATCTCACAGGCTTGGCTTATGGATTGAGATGGGGGTTACCTCACTTTTTAGCAGGGACTGGTCTCAAACAGCAGTATTCCTCATCTCTGCCCTTTGAGTGGTTGGTGTTATAGGTGTGAGCCGGTCAGTCCTCTGGGGCTCGAACTCTGGGCCTGGGTGCTGTCCCTGAGCTTCTTTTGCTCAAGGCTGGTGCCTTACCACTTGAGCCACAGCACCATTTCCAGTGGTTTTGAGTAGTTTATTGGAAATACGAGTCTCACAGACTCTCCTGCCCTGGCTGGTTTTGAACCATGATCCTCAAATCTCAGCCTCCTGAGCAGCTAGGATGACAGGCATGAGACTCTGACACCTGGCTGGGTTTATTTTTTTTAACACCAGAACAAGACAGCCCCAAAGGCTGCTGGCCATTCTGATCTGGGCATGTCTGGACCTCCCTGATGCATTCACCGAGGGGCACTGATGTCTCTGGGGCCTCTGAACCCCGCTCTGTGCCCTCAGCCAGTGGCTTTGTAATGCCTCAATCAGCAAGACCCATTAACGTGTGTGTGTGTGTGTGTGTGTGTGTGTGTGTGCGAGCGCGCGTGCGCCTGGCATCATCTGTTCTCAGCCAGTCAATGCCACGAGGCACCTGCCATCGTCCCTGTCTCCTGGACAGGACACTGGGGCTGGGTGGGGCTGGGGAACAGCTCATATCCCAAGCAGGCCCCACGGTAGGAACGCCGAGGCCTGGGAGCCTGGGGACAGACATGCGCCGGCCGGGCAGCGGTGAGCGGGTGGGGCGAAGGTGTCACCCTCACTGCCGGGGGCTGCAGCCTGACCTTCCCCGTGACTCCTGTCCTGCCTGCGCCTAGTGGGTGGGGGCCTTGACCTCCATCATCCCTACCCCAGGAAGCAGCGTGGGCCAGAGGACCACTGGGGATGAAAGGCACAGGTGCCTTCCGGGTGGAAGCCGGGGCAGGCTGGCTTCAGTTCAGTGGGCTGGAGATTGGTGTCTAGGCCGGCCACATTTTGGGGTTCACAGTCAGCTTCCATTGGGACTGGAGGCCCTTGCCCACAGACCCCGTGTGTGTGTGTGTGTGTGTGTGTGTGTGTGAGAGAGAGAGAGAGAGAGAGAGAGAGAGACAGACAGAGAGAGAGAGAGAGAGAGAGAGATCTTGCCTCCTAAGCCTGGCAGCCACCCAGGAGGAAGTGTCTCTGGGCAGCTCTGGGCTCCAGCTCCAGCTGTGTCTCCTGAGCCGCTCAGCCTTCACCTGCTTGCGCCCTAAACCTCCCAGGAGCCTGTGTGCAACCAGGCACTGCGGGGAAGCCTGGCTCTGGGGTTCTGGGCCCGGCCCGGCGGCTGGCGGCTTTCACCCCTGCCGGGCCTCATCCATCCCCCATCCCGGGGTGCGGTGCGCGGCCCCCACTCACCAGTCGCTCGCCCCCGGTCTGCCGATCCTCCGAGTCGCAGTTCCAGTCTAGGGAGAGAAGGGGAGCGAGAGCTCCGGGGCGGCGGGGCGCGGGGCGCACGGGCCGGGCGGGCGCAGCGAGGTCTGCGCGGGCAGCGCAGGTCCCGGGCCAGGGCCGCCCGGGTCACGCGGCCGCTCCCGCCCCGCCCCGCCCCGCCGGGGATCCCTGGGCGAGGCGAGGTGGAGGCCGCTGGCCCGGGGCGGAGCGGACATTCGGGGCGCCCGTATGGGGCGCCTGCGCGGGGGTCGGCACCTTCCCCTTCCCCCAAGGCGGTCTTGGGGGAGAAGGTGAGCGCCCCCGAGGGTCGCGCACGCTGGTGGGCGCGTGGCGGGCTGCGTGCGGGGCTCTCCTGCGGAGCGCGCCCTCCGGGTACACCTGCTGGCTTTACAGACGGAAGCCGGGCTCAGAAAAGCCCCAGCTAGGACTTCTTTGGACCTGCAGCCGCCCCCTGGCCTAGGGCTGTGCCCCGCATTGGGACGGACAGGCTCCGCCCGGGACTTGGGTGGCAGAGGGGCCCTGGTTTTGCCAACCAGAAAGTTCTCTTGGAGCATTTTTGAGCAGGTGTTGGGGGCACCGCGGAGCCCCAAGCCCTGCCCTGCCCTGGGCGCAGGCCGGGGGCTCTGCTGGACGCCCTGCACAGCCGACCCTCGTCTGCACCCACCGGCCTGGTCAGCGGG